CATTTTTTCTGATGTCGTTTTGGTGACTTGCTGTGCAAATATTAGTATAACCTTGAGACATGCCTGGCTAGGAATATATACATGAGGCTCTGAGCTACAGAGTGTTTTTCTATCAATACATCTTCCATTATATACCAACAAAACTTTGGTATAACATGCACTTAGGGATGATGTACCAACAGACAGTGCTGCCAATATGCTACTAATTAGAGGACAATGATAATTAATAAGGTTCTTACTAATTTGAATATTAGCCAATGATAAACAATTAATAACTAAATTATTCATATACCCTTACCAAGTTTTGTAATTTTTAAAGTAGGTGAAAATTTGATTTGTCCGGACTGATCTTTGTTCAGAAAGAGACATATATTAAAGCTTACTTCAATCTTAAAGTATTCAAACAAATGCCCGAATTCAAATAGTCGATCTGTTATTCTGAAGTTATAAAGAAAAACACACTAAAAAATGTAAAAGGGATAAGAATAATTAATTTTTAACCTTTGCTGTTGTTTGCATATAATTTTAAAAAATCCTTCTTTTTTTAACTTTTTATAGTTGAAAAACTTGAAAAACTTAGAAAGTGACTGTTTTTGACTGGTGAGAGCCAGCAGGGTATTAATAAATGATATACATTTAAAGCATACCTAGACTTTATAAGTAGAGCGAGTTGTGCCTTTCTGGCTTTCAACACATGATATTTTATGAAGGTGGGGCACGGTGAAATGAAATGATAAAATCTTGGAGCAATGTCAATCTGAATAATATTTTGCATTCTGGAATGGAAGGTACATGTATATCTGCTCAGAGCTAGAAGGGCATTAATTCATATCACACAACACAGCAATAAGTAACACCCTTCTGGCTCTTAACCAGCCTGACAGATGATGATAAATCACACCTTAACCATGAGGTATGTCTACATCAGCTCGAGATTGCCAAATAGCCCGCTATTTCTGATTTGGGAAATTAGCCTGAAGTTACAAATCATGTCTTCATCAGCTCGACACTAGACCTCGAAATTAGCTCGAGATATTTTGCTCAGCGTTTGCGCATAGTGCAAGTCTTCGGGTGGACAAGTAGCGGGATATTTTGCAAACTAGCCCAAGATATCTTGGAATGATTATCTCGACCAAATATCCTACTAATTGCAACTGCGAGCTGATGAAGACGCAAATTACCTAGATAATTTGGGATCGGGATAGTTAAAATAGTGGGTTATTTAGCAATCTCGAGCTGATGAGGACAGGCCTATGGAGGGGATATTTCCTTGCCCAACCACTGACCCAGCTCCACCCATCTGAGGTATGGCAGGTAGTGGGGCGTTGGCTTACAAGTTGGTACATACCAAGATTTATGAGTATAAATATAGGCCTACACTGTATACCCAGAAGGTACTACAAGGTTTTATAGTTGCTCCATCATCCTAGGTGTATGTGTATGTATGTGTAAAGACTGTTTAGTTATAAATTAAGTTGCATCTGAAATATTCAATGGTAAGATGATAATTATATAGACATGAGGTTCCTGGGAAAGACCACTTGGTGATTTAAGGAAAAACTGCCATGGGATATATATATATATAAATACCTACAACTTTTTTGAAAATTCATACCCCATTAGTGATTTATCAAAATTACCTGATCCAGGAGGCCTTTTTGGAGTTTTTTAATTATTTAGTAGAGCGCATGTTACATCATAATGAATTTGTATACTTAGTTTCTGACAAAGAGGGAAATTAATGATGTATAATTCATATTACTGAAGTGAAAAGGTCATAAAAAGTCATAAAAGTCATAAAAATGACATATAACATGGTACTCTTTAATTGAGATTGATCAGTGCTCTTGTGCAACTTTTATTTTGATTAGTCAATAGCACCCAGACAATGTTTTTCACAGCAACAAAAAAATATATCAATTATAATGCCCCAAAGAACATTCCTTTCACCCTGAATAATGCAGGGAAGTTGGTGCATAAATTATTGTTGCATGCCTACATGTACATACATACATGTATCATGCCTTGTCATGATGTCATCTGTTGTTTTCCTGCACGATGGTGTGCATGGAGAGCTAGAAGGGCATTAATTCATATAATTTGACTTATACAGAGGGTTGATGCCCTTCTCTTTCTGCAGACTTGATTGTCTTGACACCTTGGCAAATGCAGTATGTACACTGTAGGGAATTTGTATTGCTCTCGCTATATATCACAGCCTGTATATCATACCTTGTGACATATTATCTGTTGTTTTCCTGTAGGGAGGTACACTCTAATTATGTAAACAGTTCAAGGGAACTATTTACATAGTGCCTCTACAGTGGTGTAAGATATCATGAAGAATCTTCAGGCCTTGTGTACAGATCGTAAACATCATATTTTAGAATCTAGTTTCAAACAGAAGCTTGTATACTGTTAAAGTGTGTTTAGTTTTAAGTATTTACTGTAAGGTTGTATTTAACAAATTCTTGGTTGAAGTACGTGTGGTGCATGTTTAAACTTCACTGTCAAGGTTTAAATGAGTCAATAATTGTAATGTTTTTATAGTTTAGATTTTTATATCACTTGTTCCTTGATTGGCCAAGTATGGCATTTTATAGGGTACTTATCAAAGCTATTGTGATCATAAATCCACACTTTAGGCTATTATGGTTGTAAATCCTAATCTGCTTTGTTCCATTCTAGCATCGATGTTCTATTGCTGCTATTATTAGGTTTATTATGCTTTACTACATGTATCATGTACATGCAATCTACATGTATGTAGATAGATTATTCAAAGATTGTTAGTTGTTACATTTTACATACAGCTGTACATGTTAAGACAGTCATGGAAGAATTCCAATACAAACAAAATTATGTCCTATAAAAATTGATTGGTATTATGAAATTGTATATGCTTGTCTATAATCTTTAAATGCATCAGAATCGCTTCCTCATCCACACACGTTCTTGTCTTCTGCACTTCACTCTCAAAGCTCACTTTCACAGCTTACTTTCACTTTCATGATAACATTGTTCTTCTGAGAAATCGCAATCTCACATTAATCTTAATTGCAATCAGCCGGTTTGGTTGGATTTGCACAGTGACGTTTCCTGCTGACCATTTCTCCTTCACTTGTAATTCATTTGCAACATTAATGTTTTGTGCACTTTTTGTTTTTCTAGATATAATTTGCTGTCACAAGTGTGCAAAATAATTCTAACATCATTTCTCACCATTAGATATGTACTTGTGTAGCATTGCTTCTAAAAACCATATTAAGCATAGATATTTGTACCACTTAAAGCTTCTAATTTCTAACATACACATGTATAAGGCTATTTATTAAACAAAATTGCACTAAACTGGGGAAACTAATCACTGTTTTTAATATATTAAAATAGATTATATACTAGGTAAACAATTTGGGGATATACTAATATTATTTGATTTGTTGAATTTATATTCTGTGCCCAATATGCGGCAATGTGTGTGAGAGATTTGGTGACAATAATTATATTTGGTTATGATATTGGTGCATTAAACATTTCAGTATAACATAGTACAAATTGTGTAGCCAAGTTTTAGTGGTGAAAAGAGGAACTAACCATGTACCTAGTCTTTCTAATCTTATTCTACATCTATAGTTTAAAGGTGATTATACAGTAATAGGATTGATGTCTTCATCAATTTCCTTTTTGTGTTGACACGAGCCAAATTTAGAAATCATTTCTGAGCGATCAACTACTCCTTCCTTTGATTAAGACAGCCAGAAAGGCATTATTTCCTATCATTTTACAAGAATTAGTACCCCTCTTGCTCTCAACTCCCCTGCTCCATAAATGTACCGTAGATGATAATGTTTGAAAGTCAATTAATCATGTTGTATTTGATAAGTGTCACATTTTCATTTTCGTGAAATTCGAAAGAGCACATTTTCTTTCAATACAAAAGTCTGTTCCTCAAGTCTTAATGCATACAAATATTTGGTATTATAGATACCTTTGAGCACCTGAATGTATTAATGTATACTATGTACATACATACCTGTTAGTGTATCAAGGTTTATACAAAAAATATCAAAAAAGAAAGCATTGTGTACCTGGCACTCATGTTGAAATGACTGATCTGCCTTTTGATTGTGAAGGATGTTTCCCTGCAATGACAATACCATTTTGTTTAAATTTTGAAGTTGTTTAATTAAATCATTAATCATTCATGTCTTAATTGGATTCAAGATGGGAAGCGATAGATTGGGTTGGAAGGGTATAGCATAGACAAGAGCAATCTGATTGATTTCCTCAAATTATAGAACAATGTACATGTTTGTCCAGAAAACTTGTACTGCAACTCCCTTATTAATTATTTTTGTCCCAGTTTTGTTGATTTATACCCAATTTTATCCATTTAAGGGAGTAATTTACCCTCTATTGATGAGTAATTTTATCCAACCACAAATTTCCCCAAAGCACTTGGTTGTACTTTCTGGAGCAAATTTATGAAGCTTTTTCTTCCTTTCCGGTAAATGCATTTCATTTCTTTTTGTTTTCGAAGATTATCCAATTTGAATTTTGAGGGATACATGTACTGTACATTGATGAATATGAGCTTAATCAAATAGTGCAATTTTCTATTTTAAAAAAAAGGTAGAAAAAAAAATTGAAAATGAGAACATATTCAGAGCTTCAAATGTCAAATTTGTGATCTGTTTCATATAGCCTAATCAAAACTTACCAAATTTATGGAAGATTGCTATGGAAGTTCATTTCTTCTTTACAAGGATGCGGTTTGTCATTAAATACGGGTGTACAAATGCATTCAGATGTTCAAAGGTCAAAGTTTTCTCATCATATTTTTGTCATTTCTTGTTTTAATAAATGTTTGATCTGTTGCCATGTTGTTTTGTCTCTCAAAATGTTCTCCTCTTCAATCTCGATTACTCTTCTTCTATTCCATCTATTTTAATCTTTCATTCTTTGCCATTCATTCCATCACACATTTTCTCTTCAAACAGTTTTCACATGCTGACATCTTGCGGAATTCTTCAGATTTGGTAGGTGTTGATATATAGTGACATGTTACCCCTTCTCTTGCAGTGAATAGTTTATTGGTGTTATGACCAATGATGCAATTTTAAGTTAACAGTCTTTAGTTCATTTTCATTTCGATTTTGATTTTATGAAAGTTTTGATCTTTAGTTAAAATGACTGAATCTTCTTGAGTAATTGCATGAACACAGTTATCACTCTTCTTTTGCGATTTGTTTTTATTTATGATATATTCCGTATCAATGAAAGATAGTGCCACAGATTTTTGTAGCAATATGGAGAGATTTGAATTTATCATTTTATACCCTTTTTATTGCCTTTCTTCTTACTCAATTGGGACAGCTTGTGCCCTTTTTCAAACTGAAAAGAAATTTTATGAAATAGGTTCAATGGGATAGAATTATCTTTTTAAAAATGTATTTTTTTTTAAAGGAAATAGGTTCACAAGACAGAAAGGAAAAACTAAGATTATTAACAACAAAATCAACTTGATTTGGAGTGCATGCAGCATGTTGTGTGTTTCCATGTATTCACTCGCATGTCATATTTTTGCATGTCATATTTTGCATGATGCATCACAATAACTTCACCATGTATGTTGCATTCCTCACATAATATCAAACTTTCCATCAAATACACCGATGAAACTCTGACATCCTGATGCATAATCAGGCCCAATTTATTGGTTTCCCCAGTAATTGACTACTTCGTGACATTTGTGAGATTGATTTGACTGTCTACTGCCAGAGCATCATGGTATATATTACCACTAGAATGCAAGGGCACTGACTCTGAAAATGGCAACTTTTTCTTTGAATCAGCTCTTTAGAAGCTGAAAGCTATTGGGCCGTACTCGTACCAGTAGAAATTTGTTTGTACAATATCTTTTCTAAATTCTTGAATGTAGCTACTTTCACTAAAAAAGAAGAGAAAAGAAAACTTATATAAACTAAAGTAAAGATGGTCTTGGTAATCAGTGACCACGGTGATTAAAGTCACCCGATAACTTATTTGAAACAATGAGAAAGAGAAAGAAAGTGCATGCCAAATGGAGAGAGAGAGAGAGGGGAGGGTGGGAGAGGGGGTGTGGAGAGAAAAAAATATACATATTGTACAGAATAAAAGCATTGGTTATGTATATTTGTAGTTAAGAAATTTCATACCTTTAATTTATCTCTTTTCTCTAAAAACACAAGGAGAGTTACTATGTAAGTACTGACTTCTATAGTATTCTATAGTCCAGTGCTATATTCGTATTATTTTTTTTCTTTTTGATACCTACAAATACTTTGTATTACTTAATTTCTTTTTCAACTTATACGGCTCATCCTTTTATGAACAACTGCAACTAGTAACATATGTTTGAACTTTTGTTTTAATGAATACCTGTTGTAGTTGTGTTTATGATATGCTTTCTTTTGCATTTCAGCTTATTCTTACAAAATTATTGATTTTATTCAGAATATTTTTGCATTGACTGTGCATGCATGAAAAGATATCTGATTAGTTATGTTTATATCTTCTTTTTATCTTTGAAATCTTTCTCAAACTGTTTTGTTTTTTCTGTATAACTTGGGCTAATTTTGAACAAATTATATTTACAGTGATTAATTTAATCACATCTGCATTGTTATGGCATACTCATTTACAGATTTTAAAATATTTTTTTACATGCATGGAAAAAAACATGTAACAGATTATTTTTATTTTTGGGGCCTAATCTTTTTACTTAAATATATGATTTTGTTAAAATGTTTGTTCATTTCACTTTTACTGACAGATTGTGCATGACCACTTATTTTGAAAGATACACTCACAATATTTGTTTTCAGATTAAACTGCAATTTGCGATAAAATGTACATGTACATGTATGTATTGCAGGGTGGAATATTACTTCTAATTTCACAGGAGTGCATTACAAATTCTGCAAAAGCATTCTGATGGTGTTGGCCTATAAATTGAGCTACGTGTATAAAGTGGCAGCAAGCGAAAAAAAACATACATATACCTGCATGCTATTTGAGTCAGAGAAACATATGGGGAAGGGGTGCATGCTTCTCTTTGGATCTAGCACGAATTTGAATAGCATGACATTTGTAGGAGGATGACGATAGAGAATTATTGAATATAGCCGTTTCTCTTATATAGAAAAATAATAAAACAGCAACTTTGGTTCAACTTTTACTCATATGTTTCCTGTCTCTTTTACAAATCCCAATGAACACAAATCAGAATCTGAATGAGGAGATTGTCTCAGCCACAGCTTACGTCGAGATCTTCCTACGCTCCATCTCCGATCCTCGTCTCATGAGGGCGTTCCTCAGGTATCTGTGCCTCGGCTGGTACGACAATACGACCATCATGGAGTCCCTTATCCGCAGGATAGGAACCAACTCAAAGGTAATGTTTGATTTCCATGTATGTGTCCCATTGCACATACAGTTAACAGCTGAATAATTCATACCCCAATTTGATGTTATTTATGTTTTTCGTAACTCAAGGATGAAAGGACTGGTTGAATTAGGGCCTTTTTAGACAACTTTTAAATGGAAGGTTTAATATGTCACATTCTCAAAATATTACAAAACTTGGTAAGGGCATGAATAATTTAGTTGTTAACTATATTTACTACAAAACATAGTGGCAGATTTTTTATTTTATTTATTTATTTATTTTTTGGGGGGGGGGGGGGGTTATGGTACATGTTTATATGTAGTTAGATATGGCAAATTTTAGCCAGAGTAGGTTACATGACCCCCATTTGCCTGGATATGCAGCTAAAATGCAAATTCTTACGTGTCAACAAATCATGATTACTCTTTGAAAAGCTACAGCAGAAATTCTCATCGATCAAGACAAGAAAACATTAAATGATTTCTACATGTATATTGTATTGAAATAATGGTAAAGCATATCTCATATTTTCTATCATGTTTGTAAATATCTATGACAGATGTATCAGTTAACCGTATTTTGTAAGATTAAATCCCAGTGTTTGGATAAAAGTTATTTCAATAAAATGGTAAATTCCTTAGTATATCATCCCATGGATAGGTTATTATATAAAGACCTACTACACACTTCATTAAAGAGTAGTGGAACCTCTAAATATGTAAGCCTGCACACTCCAGATCAGTTATACAGGAAGGAGAGATCTGGGCCCCATCTTATAAACAGTTGCGATTAATCGCAACATATTGGAGTGATCTTGGCCCGATGTTATTAGCAGTACATAAGAGATAAGAGACTGCAAGTGCAAACTTGCAATTAATTTGGATCAATTGCAACTCTTTGTAAGATGAGGCCCTAGGCAGCACTTCACAAAACTTTCCATAAGTACGAGTTCACAGTCATCCCATTGAACCAAGCGAGTTTAGATTAACACTCCTTTCCATGTAATTATGTCGGTTTTGTGAGATGATGCCTGGCAGGTTTCTGTGGTTAAGTTCACTATACACCTCTGATCCCTAGATGATGCCAAAGAAATAATAGTGATGATAACTTGTCATCATTCTGTGTTCTTTTTAAATGTTTCAGCTTTGTGTGGTGACGTTATCTTTATTCAACACTCTGCTAGATGTCAACTGTGAGGACATCATGGTGGAACTGATTCTCAAGTAAGTCATTTTGACGTGATGATGTCCTTTCAGATCTGTCCTACATGTACATGATTAGGTGAACTGACTCAACAAATGCCATAGAAATATTTAAGATTGTTACAAATCGTAAGAGGCAAAAAAACATGGCTGTGAACACAACAGTTGCCCCTGTGGTTACTCTCTGATTTTTCTGTTGTCTACAAAAGTGCACAGCTCTACCTCATTTTCATTTTGATGCAACTGCAGTCGCATGACCATACTGCCTTGAAACTGACTCCTTACAAATGTCTATCTTTGCAATTCCGGGTAATTCAATGTTTTTGTTTGATACGTTTCAGTCTGGTGTCAGTCTGGGCCCCGTTGCACAAAACTTACCATTGATGGTAACTTTGTCATCAATGGTAACTACCATGAAAACCTTGATTTTGATTGGCTGTTGAGCCCTGTTACCATGGTAGTTGCCATTGATGACAAAGTTACCATCAATGGTAAGTTTTATGCAACGGGGCCCTGGTTGGTGTAATTGGGATATCAAACATTTTACGGCCCGTGTTTGAATGGGCCTCTATATGTATGTGGACACTTTACCGTGACCATAATTGGTTATTCTTTTCCAGAGAAAATCAATTCTCTTTTGTCTCCCAAAACTTCTTTCTGTCAAGGTACCTGGTGCCGTGCAGCCATGTCATGGCCAGTCAGCGGAAGGCGATCAGGGATCTGGATTTCTATGGCAAATGGGCTGAGAAGTTCATCTCCCTTAGTCCCGTATGCTGCAAACCACTGAAGGAAACGAGCAAGGACAAGGAGGGTCACAGAGACGGCAAGATGGACCCATCATCTCAGCGCCGGAACATTTCCGATCTTGGGGATAACCACAGCAATGGAACACTGGATGCTGTGCGGCTGACGTCAAAGGAACACGTTGTGATCACTGGTTCAAATCAGAGCTTGAACAATGCAACCAGTATAGACAGCGACACCATGCAGCAGAACGGACATGGTAGACTGAGCCCTGATCCATCGGCCGCAAGCAATACCAGCAGGACCAGTGACAGTGACACATTATCCCAAGCCAGCAGACTTTCATCTGAAGAATCATCTGTGTGTGAGATAGAATCTAGCCATATAGAGTATTTACTAGATGCAAGACACGCCATTATAGAATGCAGTAAGTCCTGCAAACATTGGTCAGCGTCTTACGACGGTCTGAGCCCCGCACCGACGATCCTGAGCCCGGATGTGGAGAGTACAGGGCCAGGTGAACGATTTAGATTTAATAGTGTTCAGAGTACCGGTAACAGATCGCTACAATCCACGCCCCGTCACGAATCCACTGCTATGACTATGAATGAGAGAACGCTTGATTCGTCCAATGAACAACCTCTTAGCAGGTCACATGACAGCGATAAGTACAATGCGTTGGAAGGCACACTGTCTTCCACCATTCAAGAGGTGCTACAGATGTCCATAGGAGACGAAAGTGCGAAAAAGGAAGATGCCGATAACGATGTCTCGCTCGCAGAAATTTTCCAAGGTGAGAAGTTAAGTATAGTTGAGCTGGTCGACAGTTTGGACAAAATGAAAACCGTTGATGCGGAGGAATCTAATGAGAGCCAGGAGGAATCAAGCCAGGGAGACAGCGATGATAGAAGTAGTAGTAGTAATGCAAAACATTCCTTGTACCGAAAAATGGCCTTGGACCGCAGTGACGTGATGTCTGAAGAGAGCAGACTCTCCTCGACATCTCGTAGTCGACAGGACTCTGAGTTTGAGTTTGAAGAACCTGGTGTCTTCTGGCAGTTTGACTCTGATCTGGAAGCAACGCCAAACAGGCGAATGTCAAGTACGGGTGGTGGTGGATACTTTTTTGACGAGCCGTACGAGCAGCTGCATCCAGTGAATTATAATGGTGATTTGAACGGTGATGATGTGCTCCCCCATCATAATGGATTCCTGGACAACGGAGAGTTCCCCACATCCTTTCACACCAATGGCACATCCAGCTTAGCATCTCCACTTTCCTTTGATGATCTCGATGAAAACCACTTCACGTTATCGGATCCTGACACGCCCCAGAGTGGGGCTTCATCAGGGAAATCAAGTCCCCTCCATGATGGGGAATCCCCAAGGAGGGCGGGGCCTAGGACAAACTACAATCTACCCCGCCCTGCTGGACTACCTTTGGCATCAGTAGGTAGTCCAGGAGCATTTAGCCCAGTTGGGAAGATCACAGGAGGACCCACCATAGGTAAGAATCAAGGGCAACTCCACACAAGATATTTTTGACAGTTTCTTCCATATGTGACCAAGCATCGCAAACTACTAAAAAGTGGCATGGTATGAATTATCAGTTAGAGTGCAATAAAGTTGTATTTGGTCAAGATGGTCAAAGTTTAATTTTTAGCATTTCCTGAAAGAGTATACTTTCTTCTATGTAATTTCAAAATTTGGAAGCACCAAGCAATCTAAACAGTAGAATTTTTGGCAGTGTTTAGTAGACCTACAGTATGTTGATCCGAGCCTGAGATTGTTGTGGTAATTTTCATTTCTTTACTGTTGCATCAATACCTGTACAAAATAGAGAACAGGATGTGCTTAATTTGGTGATTCAAGTTTAAAAACAGTGTGTTGATCCTTTCACAGAATTTGCTATAAAGCCCCAGTTCCTCTTTTGTCACCTTGCACAAAACCTTGAGAGTCAGAGTGTGTAAATAGACAACATTCTTTCTCTATATTTAGTAACATTCTTTAAGGCAGGACATTTGTTATCTTCAATAGGGTTGGTAGTAGCCTACTGTGATGAGTCATATCATTTTGAAGCTGAGACAGTTAAAACAAAAACAAAATGTCTGGCACCTGTTGGGTGGTTTTGTGGTCCTGGATCACATACATGTCATGTATATTACTGATAAATGAATATTTTCCAGGCCTCTGACCATTCCAGCGATTAGTCAATATTTGTTTTGTGGTCATTTTATGGAAACAGGTGCCGAATCAGTGACAGATTGGGAAATCATGTGTAACTATAATGAATAGTCAATGACTGACACCTCATGACGAAAAGCTAGAGATTGCTATATATAAGCCTTATAAGTTTATATAATAACGATTTTCCATCTTTCTTTTTCTGTGTCACTCAGGTACTTTTATGGTGACCATCTTCGCCAAGCTGGATTCCATGATGGAGAACTCACTCTATGTTAATCTACTCCTGACTGGTATTATATCCCGGCTAGCCTGCTACCCCCAGCCACTCCTACGCTCCTTCTTACTCAATACCAACATGGTTTTCCAGCCCAGTGTGCGTTCTCTCACACAGGTGAGTCTGGAAGGAGTCTAGTAGAACTTGTGGCCAAAATATTGAAACCAACAACAGCCTTGCGATTGGGAAACATTTGTTGTTGTTTAACAGAATGAATTTGCTTTCACCATCAAACATTTGCTTATGTTTCCTATATATTCTCATGTTAGCTGGGTTTTTTATAATGTTTTTTTTATACAGAGAAGATGAGCTATTAATTTTGCATCTTCTTGAGGCTGACTTTACACCTCACTTAATTTCAGGATTTAAAAGAAGAAATAGTGTAATCAATAATAAATAAGAGACTTACTTCTACTAGTTAGTCAAATTTAGCATTATTGTGAGTGAACCTCTCTCACAAGCAAAATTGGAAGAGTGCCTGCATAATAAACTCTTTTGGATACCAGTCAATTAAATTTAAACTCATTCCAGTTCTCATCCTTTGTAATTGCTTTTCATTCCTCAGGTCCTGACATCGGTGAGGAGCCGACTCGACGCCTACGCCGCCAAGGTGGAGAAGTGGGACACCAACCTTCACCGAGCCAAGCAGTACCTGACGACGAGGGAGTCCCCTGAAGAGGAGGGTCCAAACAAGGACAGGACCTGGTCCATGGTAGAGGAGAGGGACAGGGTCACACTCAAACCAAGGAGTGGTACCCTCACCACCATCAAGCAAAGTATAGTCAATCCTCCCACTTTCTATTAGAAACAACAATGACTCAAATCATAGAAATATTATGAATTTATAGCTGCAAAACTCTATTTTCAAAAGAAAATAACCATAGGCTTCAAAGTTTGTTTTCTATTTGTTGGCCGGATTGTACCGAAGGCATAGCTTTTGCTCATTAAAGCAGGACTGTGCTACTTGTAGCTACTTGTGCCCTCTATATAGCAAACAATGTCTGAGCGGTACCCGTTGTTCCCCCATGATCCCCTTTTCTTATGTTAATTTAGAGCTGATTTGATGAGATAACCACCTGTCAGCGACCATGCTGGGAGGTCTAATTCCTCCTGGCCAAAGAAGTGCAGACAGGCTTTAAAGCTCAGTTGTATTTTTGGTAAAGCTCCAAATGTAAAGTTGATCCAGTTGCATGGATTTAAGCAATCTTGAGGGAAATTTCTTTGAAGTGCGCTAATTCCTTCTAGTTCTTACTTTATAAGTTGTTAGAAATTCGAGATGGGACATAAACAAATCTGACTCGTGTATCTTTAGTGGAACTATGAATGGGAATATTTTGTCTAAACTCCTATAGATTACCGAAGCTGTGACATCATAAAAACCTATTTTTTAGAATTTCTCAATTTTTTGTTCATTTTCCAAAAGAGCATCAAAAATAATGTCCACGAATTGAATATGTTAAGTATTGGCTGAGATAAGACCATCTGAATAAATATACTCTATATGAACTCAGAAGTGCTCTGGTTCCTATATGTTATAAACCAGAGCACTATAACACTGAGTTCCCATAGGACATCTATTTATTCAGATGGTCATATCTCAGCCAATACTTAATATATTCAATTGGTTTTCGACATTCAGACATTATTTTTTATGCTCTTTCGGAAAATATTCACTTCCTGAACTAATGATTTTCCATAACGCATACTCTTTCATAATTCCTACACATTCCAGTTACTCGTCGAGGGTCGCTGAGCGACATGTTCCTGAGGCGTCGTAGCCGCTCCATCAAGACTTCAGAGAAGCAGAAGCTCTCTGCCATCCGTGAATCAGGGGTCGGGAGCAGCGTCACCGGGGCGATGTCGCTGGAATCGTCGGCCCACTACGAGTCGCTGAAGTCACGCAATGCCGTCTACAGTGCTGTGGTGTTGGATGAGTTTGTGAAGGAACTCGCCGCGTTAGCTCAGGAACATGCTGTGTTATCCGTTGAAGATTTGTAGAGATATTTTGTGGGAGGATGGGGGTGAAATCTTATCCACTAGTAGCTTTTTTATGGCCAGTGTACACCTTACTAATGCATTACTACAATTGATTTTGAACAATATTCAAAAATTAGATTAGATTTTGAATTTCAAAATTGCAAAATCCTGATTAACATCCTAAAATCTCACTTATGAACATCAATACGGAAATTGGAGGATGTTTGAAAACTTCCGGTCAGAGAAAGGCCCACCTGGCTTGAAATGTTGATGATGCCACACTACTGTAGTCGCATGACTTGAGATCAATTTGACCTTTCCTTGTAAGCCATAGTCACAACTGGCTGTGCAACTCTCTGCGTCTGTTCAATAATGGGTTTTGTAGAAGATCCCTGTGTCTGACGCACAGGTCTGCACATTTTTTCCTGGCATGCTGGATTGTAAGGTTTGCGATAGCATCTATGCATAGGCTTTGCACTGTGTTATATTGTTTTGCTTGGAAGGTGCTTTTTATATATTTAGATATCAAAAACGTTGTCCTCCATTTATTAATAACGCAAATTGATTTGGCAAGCACTGATTTGTTATGCATTTATATTTGAACTACCAATATGTTGGATACCCTCTATACTTCTCTCTCTGTCTCTGTTCTAATTTTTCTGTGGCTCTCTGTTTTCTGATTGTACCTCTGTTTATTTCTTTGTCTCTTCATCTTTGTCGCTCTCTCTTCACTGTCTCTGTATCTCCCTCCCCTGTAAACTGTTTCTCACTTTTCTTTCCTTTTCTCTCCTTTTCTCTCCTTTTCTCTCTAGCAAAGGTCCAAGTCTAATTCTCCTTCTTTCTTTATCTGTCTCTCTCTGTCTCTACCTCTCTTCCTCTGTCCACATGTATGTCATGTCAATCTTGGAACAACTAAAGACATATTCGTCTTGCTCTTGGCTATCATTTGAAACACCAGTGTATAGAAACATGGAGTGGATGTATTAATGACAGATCTTGTACATGGAGAAAAGATTTCATCTTTATTCTCTATACTACCAACTGTAAAAGCTGGTGAAAAAGAAGTATTCAATTCTCAGGAATGTTAATGATTGGAAGGTGTATATTTGTACCCAAAAAAAGAAGAACAAAACGAGTGATGTTTTTCAATTATGGTTGAATGTTAATCATATGTGAGCTTAATTAACTTGTTCTTCGATAAATATATTGCTTGCATACTTTTAAAAAAAATGATACATTAGTTTTGTTGATCTCTGTGGGATTGTTAACTTTGCTGTATATGGGTTTTAAGTATTCACTCATTAACTTTTTTGTGAAGATTTTACAAATCACCTATTGACAATAACTACTTAAAGAAAAAAGATAGTAGTTTGGAGGCCATTCTTTTAGTTGCAGTGTGGTTTACATTTACCGTATAACATTCAGTTTTAAAGTGGAACAATTAATGTTGATTTATACTCCATCCTGCGATAGGTAACATGCTGTAAAAATGTCCTGGTCACAACTTTCTTAAATATTCCTATTGTACTTAACAACCAAGTGTGCCATTTTCTGATGTAAATCAAATAATTAATTCAATAGAAATAGAAGTTCATGTATCATATGAAATGTACTTTCTTCATATACATGTACATGCCAAGTGTATTTATATGACACATTCACATTTTGAACACCCATATGTAAACAAAGTCAAGATATATTTAGACCATGACAAAAATGACTGACCTTTGAATGTTTCCATTGGTAGAATACAATGCAGTTAAGAGGAGGATCTTACAGCTATACAAGTGCTACACATACGCTATACATATGTTATGCATGCATTTATTCACATTTTTTTGCAGTTTGGAATGAATTGAAACACCATCAATTCAGCTTCATGTAATTATGTAAGTTAATGAAATTCAATAATATAACTGCAATATGTAATTTAATTGCAATCTTACTGAGAACTTCCTTGAAAACTATTTCAAAATTGACTATCTATCATGCACGAGAGCACTTAACAAAAAAGCACTTCTGCTACATGACAAATTTAATAATATTGCTCATATTGTGGATTAAATTTCAATAGTTTGAAATAATTGTTTTATATATTACTGAAATTTGAAACCGGTAGTAAAAGAGCATAACAAATGTTGAAAAGTAAAGTAAGTGCAAATACACATATCTACCAATTGGGATTTTAAAGATTTGAATATATACATGAAACAGTCACCACTTACAATACACCAAATTTTAAATGGATTCAATATATTCTTGGCCTTATAAAGATACTTCCATCACAAAATTACATGTAATTAACGGGAGGAACGGACAGCTTTAATGGTACACGTACATGTAACATACACAGATAACCAGTAGGTTGTCCAGCACTACAATCAACTGACGATATGATAATAGCATAATATTTAGATAAAGTTATCATTATTATATGACATTTTTATTCCTACTCGTGATATTATGAATATGAAACTCATGTGCATGATTTGGTTGAAACCATATTTGATTATATACATTGTTCATAATTGAAAAATTAATTATTAATAGGGTACAATATCTCATCATATTAAACAACAAATGAAAAGTGCCGGAAATGAAATGATAATTTGTGATCCAGTGCGTTGGCAAGTAAAATTGTATACAGAAGCTAAATCTTTATTATGTGCCAGAAATTATCTCATTTTATTGTAATTTATGTGTTACAGGCATCTGATAATTCTCTATATCTGGGGGGTGTTTCACAAAACTTGTCATCAGTGATAAATGACAGATATTGTTACAAGCTTTGCTTCTGATTGGTTATCAGCAGATTTGTCACTGACTTTTTTCATTTGTCAATGAAAGAAGGCTTTGTGAAATGCCCCCCTGGTCCATGCTGATTTCTCAGTAAGTCTTCTATTATGGACCCTAAAAAAGTTGAATACCGGTAGAACACTTGTATTTTTGTCCAACTATTCATTCTCTCCAAAGGCCCATGAACTCATACACTCTCTGCAAATTCTTCATTTGTACAATCGTGCATTAAAATATATATCATTGCTGCATTGTGTAATAGAGAGGGAAAAGGGCTTCTAATTTACAGTACATGTACTTTTTCAAGCTGGATGTGGATGTCCCCCTTTCTCTTTATTTACAGCAATAAGTGCCTTAAAAATTGCAAAGTCAAATCTGAAAATCTTATTATTGTTAAAACCTGGAAGTGTCTTCTCCTCTCCACTTATTCAAATCTTTTCTACTAGCTACAGTCACCAAAAACATAATTCTCAGGTTACAAGAAGGGTTTATATACTTATTAACTGCTCACTGTTGCTGTACATCTATTTTGCACTCCAAAATAATCTGTTATCATGAGCCTTTTTTATATACATTTATAATAATAAAGTTTTTTTTTAGCATGAAGCAAGAAGTCCCTTTCCTTTCAGCTTAGATTTGTGAGTATCTTGCCATTAATGGACTATAATACAAGAAATCTTACAATTTTTAAAGGCTTCCCAAAATTATACATGGGTACTTTGAGGTTTATTAGTCAAAAGGTCAATTATCTTGTTTTTCCATTTCTCAATTTGGTGTCATGTTTCTACAAAAAGATGTTTCAGTCTCCTACCTTTATCCTTAAACTTGCCAAAATTACAAGTGCTTTGTTGAAAAGATAACAGTTTTTAATCTTTGAAATATGACATGACTTGACAGTGATATTATAACAATACATTTAGGCCACTGTTTCTTACTGAATTATTGCACAAGTGATTCCCATTTATTTGCATAATGTGACTTTATGCATGAATGTATAAATGAAACAATGAGAAAAAATATTAAATTAATAATTATTACAGAATGTGAACAATTCTCTTCAATATTGGAATTTGATTTATGATGATTATTGTTTAAGATTCTGAGATGCATGGAGGAATTTAATAATGTATTTTGATAATTTTTTTAGAAAAAATATGATGTTGGGTCTGTAAATATTTTTGCAATAAATACTGTACAGTTCTATTTTTAATGTGCTATAAATTTATATAGGCATAGAATTATCAGGAATATGACGTGATCAAAATGTTTGGTTGTATGTTTTTTTCCTACAAATTTCTAGGAGGCAAAGGAAGAAGTATTTTATTGGAACTTCAACTTGTAAATGAAATGGGGCATGGGATACTTATTTTAAAGTATTTTGTCTTGAAAGTGCTGTTTGAAGCGATGTCTGATAAAAGAGAGAACTGAATTTAATGCAATCTTTGATACTGAGAAATATGCAAATGTATTATAATCTTGAGGTTTACATCTAGTTGCCAATGCACACAAGGATTCTAGTTTTTCTGCAATTTCTCAACTTTACTCCTATTCATTCAAACAAATTACCACCGGATTTAGAAATCCCTTTCCCATGTAAAACTCTTGATGTCCATGTAGACACAGAAAATTGTTTTAAAATCTATTAATTTTTAGTATTCTATAAATTCTTTTCAGGATTTCCCTGATATACTTACATGAGCATCTACATTGAAATATGATTTTTATTTTAATTGCTGTTAGAGGGTGCATATTTTACAATTAAGATTTGTCCAAACTTCCAGTCAAAGAGTTGAATATAACAATGACTGATCTATCATGTGAGGTCATTCCTAAATGACTTTAAAATAGTTTGGATTTTATGGTAGTTATAAAATGTCAAAAAATGTGCTTTACATAAAAGTAATGGATTATCTTCTTATTGAAGACCCGTTTCCAACCTATAGCCCTCTGAGGAGCACCACAACTATAAAGCACTTGCTTTAAAAACCCAGGCTTTGCAATTGTAACAGCGCCCTCTTGCAGTAGACACAGTACATTTTAAGTTGTTTTAATTTTGTGTTCTGCCCAGATCTCTTTGATTGTTGAATTGCACTAATAGTAGGCTTATGACTATTGATGAAATAATTGGGGAAGATGCTATTTTATGTGTTATCTTTTGATATGAATATTTCATAAAACATGACAAGGATAACTCTGGTATATGACATTTTAAATCTCTGTTGAAAGGATTGTTTTGGAAGTATAATTGTATAGCTGAATTGTATTCAAATATTTCTAATCTTATAATTTGTAATAGAGTATTAGTATTTATGTATCTATCAAGTTCATAATGTTTCTTTTGAGATTAAATAATTTATCAATACTGCTGCATTTCTATTACCAAGTTGTACAGGTGACATTTTAGTATAATTTCCCTTTCTCTTTCTAGACATAGTTTTCTAGATGTATATTTAAATTGTTAGTCTTGTAGTTATATTACTTTTAGGAAATCGTCTGTACCACTTATGATTATTAGCCTCTTTTTATTTATCATTTTAGTTTATATTAGTATGAGTAGTAGATGTATTGTATCCAAGTTTAAAGAAAAATCAGAGAAGCCGACTGTCCAAAGGTTGAACGAATTAGTAAGAAAATAAAAGAGTCGTGAATTTTTGAAGGTTTAATCTCTGTACCTATGGGCACTTCAAATTGACTGAATCAGTAATGTCACTGTGACGTAATTTCTAGACAACTTTCTCATTTGTTCTACACACAATGTTACTAAAATGTCAATTTTTTTCCCCCTCCAAAATGTATGACTCAGGAGGGTCTTTCTTATTTTAGAAGGCCTACATGTATAACAATACGGTATGGTACATAATATATTTCTAGTAGTGCTACAATGGAAAATGGTGCTTGGGAAAAAAACAGAAATTAATGGTATTTTTTTGTACATGACATATGGGAGAGTTGTCCTTGACTACGTCACAATCCACTGACCAAATTGCCACTATGAGATTCACACAGATCTAGTGATCTCATATTTCTGACATTCATAACTCTCTTAGTATTGGTCTGATTTATATCAAACTGTCTCCATACAAAGGGTTGGATTGCCCTTTAAAGATGCTAAAATAAATGTCCTCAGTATTGCCCCTACTTCAATTTTCAAAAACTTTCTCAAGTATCTTCCTTTATTCAAGAAAGAAAACTTCTCTCTCATATGCTTTTGCATCAAGTTATAAAATATGACCATTTGTCTGGACGTCAGCTGAAGAGTTGCTATATTTTATTTTGAAGTACCGTAGAAAGGTGATTTTTCTTATACGGCAATGGACAATGAACCAGGAATTGTTTCAACTTGATTTTTAGCATGGTTCCTCTTTATGGTAATGGTTTACTTAAAAACATCAGAAATATCATCTGTTTGTTGCCAGAAGAACATTAACTCAGTGTAAAAGTATACACATTAATGAACTTTTGGCTCCAAACAGGCCACAATCACTTGTCTTGAAAATTGTACTCTTAATTTTCCTGTGAAATAGAATATAAATATCATTCTTTGAGAAAGACTTTGGGAAAACATTCTCTACAAAAATTGCACCATATTGAACATTTACCCACAGCAAGTAATAATGGAATGCTGTACACTAAATAATTAATAATGCAGGTTCATATTCAGAAATGAGATGTCAAGTGAAGGCATTGTCAACTTGAAACTAAATCTTCATTTGGTATTTTTTAATCTGTCCATCATTACCCATCCTCTCTGTCTACTCTGAAATAGTATTTTCACACTAACATTGCACTGATACATAACATTCTTTTCTAATAGCATGCTTTTGAAGAGTGGTGTTTTTATGAACCCTTAAAAAAAGTGTTTTAGAAATATTTCTTTTATGATTTCACTAACCAAGTGAGATATTAGAATTGCAGAGAGTAATGTTGTATTTCATTCTCATATTATTTTAGAATTTTTAACACAGTAGCTTCTACTTGTATATGATGTGCACATTGTTGAGATATTGCATTTGAAGGATCAGGACTCGTGTTGTAAAGCAGATTTTTTTAATGGAGATTTGAACATTTTTATCTAGATTATGGTTGGAACCAAAATAAATTACAATTAATTAATGATTATTTTGTTTGTTCTCCATTTGTTATTTTTGTTATGGTGTTGAAAAAAATGTCTCAAAGGCAATTAACTATATATTGGATAAGGCAGACCAAATCTAAGTATATATATATATAGATATATATATATTATAATTAGATGCTGGAAATTAAAGGTAATACAAAGTTTTGGTATGGGGTCATGAATTTGGTTCAAATGAACATATTGGAAGCATCTGCGGTCCTACAATCTTCAGTGATACTTGTCGCGGTTGAAATCGATTCTAAAGTTATGAAATTGTAAATAATACATTATTTATGTTGTATAGCTCCCTCTCAAGGTCAAGATATTAATTAAGCCATAAAACAACGTTTCTGGACTAAAATCGACCGATTAGCTATTCCTGTTTGGAAATTATATATCACATTTACATATTCTGAGATTTTCATGGTCACAGCTACCTTTGTACGGCTGTTGGCGCTATTTTAAATTTATCAGAATTTAACGGGAGCACCGGTAAATTGTTATATTCAATTTTTCTCGAAAGCAGAAGTGTTTTAGGAGCTAAATTTTCTAGTGCTTATAATACATCCACAGGGGCATCCAAATATATCAAAATTGTAAAGAATCACTATCCACCCAATTTTCAAAATTTCCCAAAACTTTGTATTACCTTTAAGCACATTTAAGAGAAGTAACATCGGGGGAGAGAGACAGAGAGAGAAATAGAGAGAGAGGGGAAGAGAGAGAAAAGGGGCGGAGGGGGAGAGAAAGGGGGTGGGGTAGCATAAGCCAGAGAAAGTAGGGAGTGAGAAAGAGAAAGAGGGGAGGTATATTGAGGGGGAGGTAAGGAACAAATGGGGAAAATCATTTAGAAATAGTGTCATAACTGCCGTATGTTAACAAAATATTGGATAAAAATGACAGGACAGACAAAATTATTGAGCAACAAAGAGTGAGAAAAAGCGAGAAAGAATTGGTTAGATGAACATTGCATTAATGTTTTAGGGTAGATTTTTGTGGTCTATAGACAATCATGCTTGCTTTGTGTATATAGTGGCAAAAATACTAATCACCCATTAGGCATTATTGGTTGAGACCATTATAAATTTACTTGTTGAAATGAGTTTGGAAGCCTGCCATGATTTGGTTATCGCCATATTTTTTTCGTTGTATACTTGCTATTGTTTCTTATTCTAATGTCATATGTGGTTAATTCAGAGATGTATTAAATCGTTTTCGCTATATAAGCACCAATCTCTAGTCCAAGAGCAGATTGCAGAGTGTTGGGGGGGGGGGGGGGGGGGGTTGCGCTCCAAGTTATGTCCCCCTTATTTGTACTGTGCAAACGCATAGTGTGATGTACTATAAAGGTTTATCTTCGTCATCATCACCATTAGTGTATGCAATAATCGAGAAGCTCCAAAGTTATAGGTACATAATGTATTAGTTATTGTGCTGCCCCAACATGGCCTTTAATTATTAAAATTAATTTTATTCAAAATATAAAAAATCCTGTAAAAATTAGCTTTAATCATCATGAAAGGTGGAAAGGATTTTTGCTATTAATCTATTTATCTGTTTCCTTTACTTATCAGCTATTTTCTTCTAAACCGCTTAGAGGCAATTTGCAATTTGCGGTATACAAATATCTTATTATTATTATCCTGCTAGTTTGGAGAATTATCTATCCGTTAGTTTTCTTCACATGTTTTCGTAATCTTCCCTTAGTCAGGAAGGGGATACAGACACAGATTCCCCCCCCCCCCCCCCCCCCCCCCCCCCCCCCCCCCCCCCCCCCCCCATATCCAGATGGCGTGCGCGCTTTGATGACACATCCCGCCATAATCAGCTGACCGCTCGAGTCGAGTCGCGAATGTAAACAAACTTCCATTATGCTGAGGACGAGCAAAGCAACGCAAAAGCACTTCCTTAGTACGCCGCTCTGCTCCGTGGACTAACAACTGTTGCAGCACCCGACTACCGAAAAGATCTGTTGCAAAGGCCAGGGAGGAGAGGCATTGTTTTCGCCAATATTTTGCTTTATTCTGTGAATTTAGAATAAAAATGTCTGAGGAAAACTTCTTCGATAATCTAAAGAAAGATGTGTCTTTTAGTGGAAACCGTGAAAAAGAGGCAGCGTGCCTGAAACGCTACAACAAAAGAGGGTGAGAAACGCTTTTGTTTAAAACTAAGAGCCTTGATAATTTTATAATCAGATTTATAGTGTAGTGCACGCTTGCAGTGCAGTGTGGATTAGACGGAAAGCTTCAGTCTGATATCAACGGCTGTTTCGCTGACTGCACTACACTGTACATCTGGCTAGAGGTCTATGCCCGGCCCCCCCACTCAGTGTTATTTAGGGTACGCATATGCTCGTTCCCTCTTTTTGAAAGTACCCCCTATCTGAGGACAGCCAACATTTCCGAACCCCCCTTTCGCGGGCTTTTTGCGGGCTTTTCCTGCCTTGGAGACCCCCCTAAATCAGGAAAAATGCTCAATGTACCCCCCTAAATTCGGAATAATTTCTCAGGAGTCCGAAGAGATTAGAGAAAAGAAGAAAAAACACCCCCTTTTTAAAGAAATATCCGGGTGAAAAGTCAAATACACCCCTTTTTTTACAATTCTCGGGCCGGACTTTGTCGCACGAAAAGTACCCCTTTACCGGACATTTTGGCAACACGCATGCGGTCATTCCGAAACCTGAGTGGGGGGGCCGGGGGTCTATGTCAATTTTATTAAAGAATTCCCCATAAAATACGGTTATATTTAGCTTTAGATGTAAAAGAAACTGCTAATGTTATTGGATGTTAACTCTAATCTTATTTAAATTTGTTGACAAAAAATTAAGGCATAAAATAAAAACAAGTTATTTAAAAGTGAATAAGTGATGTCTGATAAAGAGTAATTCAGTATGTGTATTTTAGGTCAACGTCTTTGGTTGAACCAGATCTTATAAGTTATATTGTCACACAATGATTTAGTCCAATAAACCCAATTTCCAACGCTACATTTTTGATGAGGAATACATTTATTAAACGACGATGTATTATATTAAAAATGCTTAATAATGTCCGGAGTGATTAACTTTCTTTCATCATATGCCCATCCAAGCAAGGCTTTTATCTAATGGATTTTGAACAGTTAATTAATTACAAATAATTTTATAAGCAACTTTGGCATGTTATTGTGTTAGTCTGGCAACTGTGCTCAGTCATCAATGACTTTTGGCTGTATAACTACATGTATGAGGCTACAATGACTTTTGTTTCTGCATGCGCATGTTACTGCAAAGCTTGACTTCCCTTGCTCATATGGTAAACTGCAGCATTTAAAAAAAAACCACCAAACAATGTACTGCGCACAGCTAAGGTCCAACAAGTGAGAAGTGATCCTACAAGTGTGTGTATTCACCAAGCTGCATGTTATAAAATACATCTGAAGCTTATTACACTTTGGGCATTAGGCCTACAGTACAGTATTACAAAGAATAAATGATATTTAAAAACAAATACAAAATCTGCCATTGTTTACCATATCACATCTGAATGAGGCTGTAGTAGTCAAAGTACATTTCTAGTGAATGTACATGTAGCCTGTTTTCTTTCTTTTATTTTTTTGGTATTATTATTATTTTTTTTGTTGTTACTTTACTTTGAAATAATTATCTACTGGTAGTATGAAATGATTTGTACTTCAATTTTGATCTTAGTCTAAAATACTGTATGGGATATCCTAGTGGGAGTAATCACATGATAAAAGTGCCTGTACTTTGAATGGTATTTGACCCATAGTGCAATGTCAATTGTATGCAAATCATGTTGAAACAGAGCACCTCTTATTTCCTTGACACATGCAGACGTATGGACTACTCTTCGTGTTATGATTCAAAGAGGCAAATTTTGTCAGGCTATTTAATTACTAGCTTGAGTCAAGAAGCTTGTGTATTGACACAGGCTTTAAAATTTGTAAAGGGTTTATTTCTTATTCTGTTTACTTGTCAAGACATTCCCTTGATACAAAGACCTGTATGTCATACCCTAACCCCCAACCAACAAATAGACTTATTTTTCTGTCTGTTTACTTTAATTAAATGTACAGTACCTCTACCTTTACCCCAGTTTCTGGAGCCTGGATAGTCTTGGAAGTCTGGCTTCCAGTATTGTAAGCCCATACACTGTATGTAGTCACTTTGTACATTTAATTCCACTTTCTCCACTTCCTTCCCCTGCTCTTGACACTCTCATTTCCTACCTTATTCCAATTTTAATTTAAAAATCCACTTTCTTTCTTTTTCTCCTTTTTTCCTTTTTTCCCTTTTTTTTCTTCCCTTTTTTCCTCCTTTTTTTTTCTTTTTCCATTAATAAAAGATATGCCTTAAATCCTCCCTGTTTTCTTCCTTTCTTTTTCGCTCCATCAGATCCCTTTTCATTCCCCATCTTCAGCATCAGCATCAGTATACGGAAGTGTGAGGTGATCCTGTTGAAACTTCTGGTCGTTTTCTACCTTTTTTTACACCTTTTCTACCTTTTTTATTTATTTTTCTTTTTTCATATTCCTTTCTCTCATTGTCTATCTCTTTCCACCCTGTGGTCCCCTCCTTTCCTTTTATATTTCACTAATTAACTTCTCTATTTTTCTCTCTCTGTTATTTCACCCTTGAATAGGACTACATGTACATGTACATGTATGTGTACATGACTACACATAAACATGTACGTGTATGAGTACACGTTCACATGCCTTTGTCGAGGACGCTCATAAGAAAAGAACCTTCATTTAGAGGACCACTAGCAAAATTAGGATGTCCTCGGTTCGAAAACCCTGTAAATTACTCAAAATTTGAAATGAATATGTACAATGGTATATTCAGTATTGAGGTGCTTCATTCCAAATGGAAAAGTACATGTCCTCTATTATGCAGTAATTTTCCAACTTTCCCTTGGATATTACATGTGTCCAGGATGTCATACAACATACATGTATCCTCAAATATTTTTGAGGATGAATATAATATTATCAGGTGCAATATATGTAGATTGAGCCAGTCAAAATACTAGATTAACTTTACATGCTTCATTTAGTAATACATCAACAGTAAGGCCATCTAGGGGGTACCATTCCTGATAATCAAATTGTGATGTGTTTGATCTTTGAGTTTGTATTGTTTTTAAAGGGATATGGGTGAGTGCCCACTTGTCGCTTGATTGGCTGGTTGCCTTCCAATCCATTAATGCAGCTCAGTGTTACGACTAAATTAGTACATTATGAGCAACTGGATGGGCAGCTGGCCAACCATCAATACTAGCAATTAGTGTTCATGGTATTTTGTTAAGGGTAGTCTCGAGTCCAGGCGATGACAAGAGGTAAAACTGCCCAAAACACAAGAAAATAAACAAGTTATGCCTGAAAAGAAGTCATTGTAAGGCCTACAGTATGTAGACATGTATGTAGCCTATAGCCATGTTTGCTAAAAGTTGTTGATTGATAATTACACTTGAAGCATAAAAGATGAAGAATATTTTAAAGTTGATGTATCTGAAACATCTGTACTTCAACCCTTCATTGGCTTCCCATAAAAGAAAGAATTCTCTTAAAGCCTTCCATGATCAACAATGCCACTATACAGTGTGTCCCAGAAAAAATGAAACCGAGAATTATCGGTGTTTAATCATAACTTAATAACAATGACACATACAAATTCATTTTCACTGGCTGCCTGCCGTAGCAACAAACAGAGTTGACAAAAGACTTAACTCTGTTTCGTTGACGATCAGCCATGCTTGTTAGGGCAGGTAGCCAGTGGAATGGATTGGTTTGATAAAATTATGGAAATGTAAGCATTAATTACTTTAAACAAACAGAACTTTGTGATTCCTGGCTAATTTTTACTGATTGAGGTGTCATATGAAAGGGCAGAAAATGAACCTTCTAGAAATATGATTTTCTCTTTGTAATTCAGAAACTGTTTGCCAAATCACTTTTAAGTACCCTTTCTTTAAATTGTTTTTAATCACTCATGCATGAAATATGCATCATATGACTTCCATCAAATGAAAGAGGAGGATCTAAGCTTTACAAATATGTGTCATATAGTAATTGTTATCGTGATTAAGTTATGATAAAACATCAATAATTCTCGGTTTTGTTTTTTCCGGGTTGCACTGAATGTTAAAAATTGCCTTACATTTCACAACCCATCTCGTCCTAATCATTGCACTTCTAGGGATCCTGTTCTTACCATTCCAAAGATTTTGTAGCAAAGCTGGTAATCGCAAATTTATTGTAAGATTTGTAACAGCATCCAAAGAATGGGACAGTATATCCCATATTTCATCAAATCAGCTCATTCCAAAGACCAAATTATAAAATTCTTGAAAATATATATCTCTTCCCAGAATAGTTTAACTCGATCCGTTTAATTAATTCCTTTCATTTGTACTTATTTTACCGGTAAGTTTAGTTTATATCATGTATAATTTATTTTGTAAACACTATAGATGTAGTACCCTGTATGTAATGTATTAAGAGTGTATTTAGTGCCAGCAGGGCTCAAATTAATTTTTTGTCCACGGGGTCTCTTCCCCCGAAAAAAGAGCTCCCGTGAGCCTTCTCACGGGGGCTCTTTTATTACTGACGGGGGCTCTAAATACAAATATCTATTGAATTGGTACCTATGATACTCCTCAATTATTTGCTATTTCATCATTATCATTTCAATCAGCATTTTCCCTCTTACAAATTTACAAGCTACATAGCTGTTACTGGCCTGTGTATATAATATATACGCATACAACACTGATCTTTATGATGTCTTTAACGTGACATATCTTCTTCTCCCCTTGCAAACGAAAAAGAAAACATGGTCATTAAAAGGGATTAAGCGACAAATAATGATTGTGATTCAAATTGATGCGAATATTTGTTTGAATAAGCACTATTATTCACCCGAATCATTTTTGTAAAAACAACTTTTACAAATCTCAGCCATGCCTACTGAGTTGAGACGTTCCATTCAATTTAAAATACCCATTACATAATACACTTCTCCTAATCTCAAAGTGATCTTACAGCACAGTGGCAGAATTGAATGGCTGAGATTTGTAAAAGTCGTTTTTACAAAGAAGATTCTGGTGAAAAGCATTGCATATTCAAAAAAATCCTTGCATCAATTTGAATCACAATGATTATTTGTCGCATGGTCCTTTTATTAAATAACCTTGTTTTCTGTTTTGTTTGCAGAGTGAGAAGAAGCTATGTCACGTTAAGAAATCATAAAGATCAGTTGTATTATGCGTATAAACATATGATACCAGAACAAATGTTGATTATCAGAATGTCATTTTGGAATACCTCTATACAAATACCACATTGTCTTTAGCCCGAATTAGTATTAGTATGATCCAATATAAAGCTATTATTCTTTATTTAATTCAGTATAATGCTTTTCCTCAAAAATAGTTTTGCTATTTTTTTAGTATTGAGACGCTAAGAAATGGTTTCAAATGTACATTACACAAACCCTGAACCATTGCAAAATGATGTTGGTTCTCTCTCTCTCTCTTTATTTTAATCATGCATTATCAACTACATATAAAGCAGCAACCAAAAACTTAGGGTTATCTGAGATAGGTGAAAGTAAGAGTTAAAAAGAAAGTCATGCTAAAACGGCGCTTCACTTCCCCTCGCCCCCTGAAAAAAATAAAATAGATTAGTAGTCCTCCTCTCCAGAATAAATAATTACAGTGCTTATATAGCGCCTAACACTTACTTTGTCAGAAGTCTCTAAGCGCTCTACAATAATGCAGCATAATTACCCTGGCTTTAGCAGTGCAGCTGTTACGCGCGCTGCGTTTCAAGGAATAAATTCCTACCAGGTACCCAGAATCCCCCTTCCCCCCCCCCCCCCCCCGCTTTAATATCACATTTTCTCTTGGCAGCCCAAGGGGGCCGGGGGGGGGGGGGGGGTGGGAGGAGGGGGTTAAACCCCCTACCCCCCCCCCCCCCCACCGTAGATCTGCCCCCGTATCATATCATTCCACGCAGGGGTGGCGATCCCGGGGGACGGGGGGGACATGTCCCCCCCCTCAATTTTTTTAGGGGGGGATCGTCCCCCCCTGGGAATTTGAAAAAGTGCAAAACAAATTGTATAGCATATACTGAATAATGACTGCAACACACTTTTAGACTCTGGAAGGCCCAAGAGTGCAGCGTTTAGACTAATAAAATTGCAAAAAAAATCTCGCTCGGTCGCTACGCTCCCTCGCATAACATCCTCGTAAAAAAAATGCGCATTTTGTCCCCCCCGGTCATTAACAGAAATTGCCACCCCTGATTCCACGACATTTTGGTCTTCCTCTTCTCCTCAAAAGGAACTTTTAGATTTGCGTGGACGTGGACGTGGACGTGGACGTGTTACGTCCTTTTAAGGCACTGGCAATCACATGTGACGTCCTTTTAAGCACTGGCAGTGCCTTAAAAGGAGGTCACACGTTGCAGTCCACGTTCTCATCGTGCAAATCTAAAAGTCCCTAATATTGATTTACTGGTCGAGGTTCATTATTTGCTGACAACGAAAAACTTCTCCAGGTCATGACCATGTTTCTGCCCTTGCCCGATCGCCTCCAGCTCCAGCAGACATGGCGCGGCAGCGTGCACACGCACCGCTACTAACGGCGCAGTAGGCCTATAACCACTGCTGACGGCGGCACTGCACTGCGAGCTGAATCGGTAATAATAGGCCTACTCATAAAACGAGAAATCTTGCACGCTAATCTTAGTTCCATTTCATTGGTTTAAGGTTTGAAAATTGAAACTCAATATTGTGTTAAAATTATAACAGAAAAGATTATCTTTATTTTATAATTCCACCGGGGCGATTTTTAATTTTGCAATCGCCCCCGTGAGCAACCTGACGGGGGCGATTTTGTAGCTCACGGGGGCGAATCGCCCACCGCCCCCGTCTATTTTGAGCGCTGAGTGCCAGTTATTATTATTATCAATCTTTATTGTTACATCTACTTGCACATGAAGACATGAAGACATGTTGTGTGTGTGAGTATGTATGTATTTGTTTGTTTCTATGTGTGTTCATTAAGTATTTTTTTAAAGTCATGAATATTCAATGATTATAAGTTTAAAAGGAGAGCGAAAAAAGAAAAAAGTCAGAATGAAAAGATTCACTCTGGGTTGTTTTTGTACTAATAGAACCCTGAAAAAAATACATTAGCTGTTGCTAGGTCGGACAAAAATTTACATAGATTTAAAGGCCATATACATGTATCATTAATAAATCTCTTTCTTTGTTCTTGATTTTTGTTCTTCCTACAGAGATGGTGTGCTAGACCTAGAGGAGTTCCACATGATGTGCCTGGATCTCTTTGTAGAAGATGGCAAGAGCTGTGCTCTCTCAGAAACACAATCAAGACAGATATTTGAACAGCTAGATGAAAATCAGGTACTTCTAAAGGAAGAAAGGGTGATATGTCCCGATTTTTCACTATGAATACGGCAGTACGTTTTTTGTATGTTTTGTTACGTTTTTTTAATATTTTTAAAAAAAATTTGATTTTTTTTTTTTTTTTTTTTTTTAATTTAATTTTTTTTTTTAGTGACGTTTTTCTTAATTTCTGATCATGGGCCTTGTGTCGTAAGTGTATTATGCACCTACGTCTTCAAACGATGCACGCAGAATGGTGATACGGGCCCAAAACTGCGCACATTGCGAACAACCCACATGTAATGTATGCATGTCGCGCTCTGATCCGGGTATGTATACATGGTACTGCCGTTTTTTTTAAGCTGCTCGATTGGGCGATATGTTGAGGTGAGAGATTTTTTCAAAAATACTGTTTTTTGCTCTTAAGAATACTTTTTTTTGTCGAAGAAGGTTGGCATCTCTGTGATAAGGAGCAAAAAGGGAGGTATATACTTGGGGGTGAATACTGAATAGTTGTGGAGGAAGAGTGTCTGAGGGTTAAGAAATCCTGTGGATGGAGGGGAACAATGGGTGGAAGTTGAACGAGGCCTTTTTCCAGAGGGTCCAGAGGATAGTTCAGGGGATAGGTGTTTTATGAGGACAATTTTTCTTTCTTTTGAAAGTCCTCTTATTTTATTGAAATGACAAAATGTGGAATGATAACAAAATTAATGGAGAAATAGAGGTTTTTCTCATTGAATACCGGTCCTATTTGAGTAAATCTTTTTATTACCAGTCTGTATCGTGTACTGTATGTAAGATATTTGCCTGCATGGAGTCACTTGTAATTCTTTCTATACAAATTTGTATTGATTCCTTCATTTTCTCTAGCTTTTAAAAGCATCTGTATCTCTGCAGCCTGTTAAAGAGCCATGCTAAATATTTCCCAATTTTTGTCATTAAAAAAAAATAATCAGCTTATACATCGAGGGTTCAGTGACACAAAGACGTAACTCCATATTTTGCCAAAATGAGTATGTGATATCAAAATGTTCAGAAAAATGTGTGCTTTCTAGGAAACACAAAGACTTTACTTCACCCAACACCCCATTGAAGTCAATGGCTAGTGAAACATCGACTTAACTCCTTAAGGCCCAAGTGCTCAGGGACACATAAACCACTTTTTCTCAAAATGGCCAAAAATGGAGTTACGTCTTTGTGTCACTGACTGCTCGTCATGTAGATACCCTATGTTTTCATTCATGGTATTGCCTTTGTTTTCCAGGACAACTACATTGACAAGGAGGAGTTTCACATCCTGTGGAGATACTGGCTTCCCATGGTGAGTAGAGTCAACTTCAATTTGTTAAAAGTATACTAAGCTTGAGATCACTCGCCCTGGGGTCTGTGGAACATGAGTACTGGCCGTAGCAGAATAAAATTGTCTTCAGTAGGTTGACAAGGAAGGAAACATCGGAACATGAGTAACGTAGCTGCTAGCAGAATAAAATTGTCTTCAGTAGGCTAACAAGCGAGGAAACATAACACAATAAAGAAGTCAGTTTGCATGTTTCAAGCCAAAAGGGCATTAAGCAATGGTTCTTAACAGAGTTAATGTCCTTCTGGCTCCAATTGACTTTGTTACAAAGATCAGTCAACTATCTTCAGCCAAAACATAAAATCAGAGTGTCATTTCTTTGAAAACATTGATATGTATTATTGAAGTATGTACATGTACATGTAGAAGTAGATGAAAACATGCAGTAAAAACTTCAAAAACATTATAATTTCACCATTATTGGAATAGCAAGGTCTTTTTCTCAAGCATTGCATTTTTTGCCAAGTTGAACTATTAAACAGTCCAACCTCTGTCATTACGAAATTTGTTTATTTAAAATGCAAATTTTGTTCAAATACATCTTTATGCAAGTGAGACTGTAATGGTTAATCTTCATGCCATATCATTTAAAGTAAGAGAGTGAGAGTGAGAAAGAAGAAAGAGAGAGAGAGAGAGAGAGAGAGTGAGAGTGAAAGGGGGGGGGGGGGTGTAAATTTAATACATGCACTTGTATATTTTGCAGATTACATTATTATAATGTCAAGCTTAAATTGTAATTATTATAATGGCAATATATGCAATGCCACTTCATGAGTGCAAATTAAACATTAGATAGCCCAATCAATTTATCTAATTGACTGAGAACAAAACTCCCTTTTGAAGGTTTGATCTCTCCGTGTACCGTGTATTGATTATTGTTTTTTAGCACCCGGAAAAAATTATAATCTGTAAGTTCCTCATGAAATCATCTAGATAACAGTTGCATTTTCCTGTTTGAGTACTGTCCAGGGTAGTGTTTATAGCCAGTAGTTGCCATGGCAACATACTGTCAACATACCTGCATTGGTAGGAACTATATCCTATTTCCTCCATTTGAAAGGTTTCATCAGTCTGTAAACAACGAGTTCAAGGTTGAAGATCCTAGGTTATTTCCCCATGAGGCATTTATATATCTGTATGTATATATAACCTACTTTTTATAAGTCAGTTTGTATTCCAAGTACAATTTTTTTTCCATTAATTTAAAAGAAGACATAGTTGTTATATTACCTACATTTTTTGTTTGTATTAACCAAATTTCATGACAAATTAAAAGTATTGCATGAAATTTAAAAAAAATGCATCACAAGACATCAATTTAATGGAAGGGATTAGTCCATTACTCCAAAGGCAGGAAAATAAAACATTATCTTTATTTAAAAAAAATCTATATAAATTCCTAGGTAATTATAGTGTAATAATATTTTTGATGCTTGTGATTTCAGATTCTTCAGGCCAAAGCAGCCCTCATAGCAGTAGATGTACAGAATGATTTCATAGATGGATCATTGGCATTAACTGATGCAGAAGCAATTGTGCCTGTCATAAACAGGTAAAATACAGGTATCTCATATTGGGACCTTCCACTAGACTAACAGCCCACTAGACCGACAGACCACAAGACCAACAGTAGGCAAGACCGACAATATCAGCCTGATGAACCCTTAAAAAAAGGCCTGTGAGACTGGCAAGGGATATCTGTCTCTTGGCCCTGGGTTGCAAGTCTCATGGGCCATCAGTCTCATGAGCTGTCCTATAACTTCTAGAATGCCTGGGAGATAGATTTTGTCAGTCTTGTGGGCTTTCACTGAAATTCGCTCTCGTGAGATGTTGCCACTCAATTTACATGCAGGATATGCTGAGATATATGTTATTTTTTATATTATTATGTATTATATATGTTATGAATCTGCATAATATGTTGTAAAGTATTGAGGAATTTCCCAATCCTGCTCTGCAGAAGGCATGATGCTTGCATGCCCAGTAGGGAAGCAGTTTCCAGGACTCTACACTTGAAGACAATTCCATATTGCTTTTAACTAAACCTAACTCTGTGAGGCTCCGGCTTTGTCAGGAGCATAACGCCTATGGGGTGCAGTAGATCATGCACCATAGCCTCACCGTTCAGACACTTTTTATGCACTACAAGTGACAAGGGTTTGTGCCTGCAGAGTAATATATTATTTAGTAGCACCTGAAAAGCTTTTAAGAGTACTATGATGTACTAGATTACTGATCATTTCGTATTCAAATTATATTCATTTTGTTTTTTGTTTTTTTTATTATTCCATTTCTAGAATTCTTGAAGATGAGAGCATGTTTGAGCAAGTCATCTACACATATGATTGGCATCCAGAGAATCACGTTTCATTCCACAAGAATGTCTGTATGAGAGAACTTCACTCCACATCAAAAGTGAGTTCAGTGGGGTGTTTCACAAGACTTGTCATCAGTGACAATTGATAATTGTTGTTATAAGCTCCTGAAATCCTTGCTTCTCATTGGTTATCAGCAGATTTGTCACTGATATTTGTCATTTGTCATTGAAAAAAAGGCTTGGTGAAACAGGTCCCTGTTCAGAGGCAGATCCAGGATTTGGTTTGGAGGGGGGGGGGGGGGGGGGGGGGGGTAGGGCACAAGTTTTGACACCCAAACAAATATTTAGTCCTTTTGGCAGGGAAAAAATATCTACACAATTCCAGGGGTTGCTTTTCAAGCTTGCTTGTATGAAAATAACATTCTTTTAGTCTTTAATTTGTTTTGCATTGAACTCTATGCAAATTTTTGTTGGGCTCTTTTATGACTTTCGGGGGCTAATTTGCCCCGAGTCCCCGTTTTTTTAATCTCCCTGCCTTTCGGGGTCCGTCTTGACTTGAACATTCTCATAGAAGCAGAATAAAAGTTATCATGTATGGGTTGATCTTACTTGGAAATATGAAGGAAAAAAAAGCTTGTCACATATTCCGATGTTTTCGGGAAGCTGCCATGTAAGCTACTAAGAAGTACAAATAAGGGCAAAATTTCCCTTTATTTTTACACAAAGTGTCCATGTATAGTGCAATGAAACTGGTTGATTGTGGTAGGTCTATGATTCTAACAACAAATTCTTCTTCTTTTGTGTGTGCATACAGACACACAGAGAGAAGGTTAATTGAAAAGGACATTGTCACAGGCAGATGATATATGTCGTGAAAAGCATATAGCAAACACCCTCATAATCTTATCTTTGTGAAACAATCCTATCTTTCAATGCCTTTTATGCAAAAATTATGTTAATTGCCACGGATCCACACTCGATTGTGATATAAAACAAACATTGACAAGTTTTAAGAGGCATTTTCCCTGTGTTGATGGCTAGACTGTAATCTGACCTGAGTTAAACAGATCTTTGTCAGCTTAGAATCACTAAGTGCCTATTGTACATATTGTAGTTCAATTGTGTCCCTCTGAGTAAAGTCAATATTTGGATAGAAATATCAGGTCCACTGTATGTGAGAGATGGCAAGACTATGGTGCACTCTTATTTGAAATCCTGATGTTATTGATAAGAGCAAGTGCTCCTATTGTAGGCTTTCATTTACAGTTATGAGCACCATCTCTTCTTTGAAAAAATGTATGCCCTTCAAAAACACTTTAATTTATGCCCATTGTTAACACACACATATGTAAGTCAGGCGATGGCATATTTAATCACAATGCCTTAAATCATTTTATGCGAAAAGTAATATACAGAATCATTTAAGTTCAGTCATTTTCCTTGTAATATTTACTTTTACAGCCTCATTGTTCTTAAATGAGCTAATGATTGTGTAAATAATTGGCTCATAAAAAAGGCTGAATTGTTTAATAGGTTTACACTGTATATACATTCCAGTTGTTAATTTAAATGGGCTTTGTGCATGCAGTATGGGGTACAGCAATGTGGCCCATTTGTCATTGCAATATGGGATTACATATAGGATTGTTGCATCATATTATATAACAGAGATAAATACAGATCTGTTTCCTTTCCTGGTTATTGTCTGTGGGATGCTACCTTGGTCTCCGGGCAAAATGTATATAGTTTAAAAATACTGTCAATGGAAAAGATTCAAGATAATAGCAGGGTTAAACAGGGGCAGCTCCAGGTTTTTTTTTAAAAGGGGGTATAAAGATTTTGTCAAGCAAGAAACAAACAAAAACTATATTTGGCTGTTGATTTAGACACACACACAAAAAATGTCTGACGAGCAAAAAAAAAGAAAGATAAGAAGGAAAAAAATGCTTTTTAAACAAAAGAAGAAAAAAAAAGGAGGAGAAAGGTATCAAAAACCAGGCGCGAACCCGTTGATAATTCAAAACCTGGAAATGCATAATAGTTCTAATGTACTAGATTATGAACCTTCTCCAATAATTTCAGTTTTTTTAAATTTTACAATGCAATCGCATCGCTGATCATTGAATACAACAACATGTATTGTTATGATTCTTGAAAAACAGTACTTTGATTATTGACGGAGCTTCCCTGTTTAAATGATACAAAATAAATGAAATAAATAAATGAATTTTTGTTCTTACATGTATCTGTAGATCACGCAGAAGGAGAAGGCTTGTGTCTTTGATACCGTAGTCTTTGATGGGCACGTCCCCATGGAACAGACGTTATGGCCGGCCCACTGCGTGCAAAACACACATGGGGCTAAGCTTCATGCTGATCTTAAGGTAAATGTACTTATAATAGTGCTTGTTTGTTCATGCCTCTGTCATTAAAGTTAAGTCAATTTCTTCACTGAATATGTTATACATACGCGTAGTCAAGGGAGATAAAAACTTAGGAATGTGATCTTCTTGAAATTTACATCTGTTGTCCATATGCATCCGCCATCCCTCTGTCAAGCACACAATGTTATGTTTGGGACTGTCTGCTTGACATATCTATAAAGTCTCCTTCTATTGCAATCTGGAAATCATTGAGATAGGAGCAGTAATTTAGTAGCAGCATTATTGCTGGAATACTCCCCAGGGAGTGGAGATTGTGCACACATTGTGTGCGGGCAAGCACTGAATCCAATGACCGGAGTAATAGTATATTTGTAAAGCGCTGAGAGACATTTGTATTAAGCGCTATATTAAAATTAAATATTACTATCATTATAAATATTATTGTATCACTATGTAGAAATATTCACAATATCAGTTAAAGGTAAAGACCAGTATTGGAAACGCCCCAATTTCAAAAAATGAAATGGAAGCTCTCATTACCAATCATGTGAAAGAATATGTTTTGACTAATACATGATGATAAAAAATTTGCCGGGAAACCGCCTACTAATTCATATATTTGGTAAATTTGTTTCTCTCATGGTCTGTGAGAGATATAGGGTAGTCTCATATACATCTTTCTGTGTATAGTGCTTGTAACTTTACGAAGAATGGGCCAAATTTCTTATCATTTTGATGATTCCAGAACCTTGCAGATGCTAGATGCTAGATGATCAACCTTTTCTGATCGATTCCACAACGTTTCTTTCACAATGCAATTGCATGACCATAACTGGTCTTTACCTTCAATGAAATAATCACAATATGCAGGCATTATAGAGGTGTCGTTGTCAAGTGGATATAAATCTCCTGACCAAACTACAAGGTACAGGGTTTGAATTTTGCCGCTCTACTAAATGTCCTTTGGCAAGACATTAATCTACATTTGCCACACGCGAACCAGGTGTAGTAAGTGGGTACCTGGTAGGATTCATTCCTTGAATGCACCGAGCGCTACAGCTGCTGGAGCTAAAGCGGGTTAAAAATTGCCAAAGTCCTTTGGCAGCGGATAGAGACGTTATACCGTAATGTGGTAGCAGAGCTGCGAACCATTCTGTTTTTGCCGGAATTAATCCGTTTTTTCCTCCAAATTACGGTATTACGTTTTTTCTTCATAAAATACATTTTTTAATAAATTTTTTTTTTTTAAATTTTTTTTAAAAAAACATACCGCACGTCAAATAACTGCCCTAAATTGGTGAGTTGATCACAAATTCAATAGAAAACTAATTTTAAAACATACTTGAAGAGAAAAATATTCTCAAAAAAAAAGAAACGCCGATAATACCAAAATAACTCCCCTAAAAATTACCTACTTGTATGGAAAAAACAGCATGATGAATGAACATTTCTGCATTGGAAGTGTATCGCGCGTGGTTGTAAGTTTCGTTTTAATGAATTCCTTTTTCTTGCTTGAAATTCCTTTTTTTTGCCATCGTGATTCCTTTTTTTGGTCGCACAAGGTTGGCAGCTCTGTGGTAGACACTATAAAATAACCGCATATTATAAGAGATGTACGTCTGTTGGATATGTCACTGGTCTGTGGACCACATGGTTCATGGTTGACCCGCCGTGGCACTAATGTCCTTTGGCAAAACATTAATCTATATTTGCCATTCCCCACCCAGGTGTAGTACATGGGTATAGAATTTATTCTTTAAATGCTTTGAACACCTTTGGGCAGCTGGGCTAAAGCCAAGGTAATAACAATATTTTGTAGGCACTTTGAGCATCCCCTGGGATAGATACATGCACATTATGATTCTACCTATTGTTACAATTTAGTATTAACTGTTTTTATTGGGTGAATTACCAGGGATAGTATATCTACTTTTAAAAATCTGGTTTGATTAAAAAAAGTTATGTTTGAAGAATTGTATTTGAGATTTTTGTTTATTATTCAAAAGCAATCTCATAAAGTTAATTTTGGATGAATTTAATTTCTCAAGTAAAATGTCTATTCATATCTTACCCTTCTTTGTGGAACCGATAGATTGTGAAGGACCACGTGGACATTTACAAGGGCTCGTGTGACCATGTCGACAGCTATTCTGCTTTCTTCGACAATCAGCGGCTCGCGCAAACAGACCTGGCGACGGTGCTGTGCAGTAAGCGCATCACGGACGTGTACGTCTGCGGTTTGGCAACGGACGTGTGCATCAGGCACACGGCCATTGATGCAGCAAGTCTGGGTTTCAGGCCATTTGTCGTGGATGATGCTTGCAGGGGGCAAACGAAGGAGAGTTGCGACAAGGCAAGGAGAGAGATGGAAGAAGCAGGCTGTATCATGATTTCATCTACGCAAGTGAGTAATGAAGTCTTTGTGAGTGGATTGAGATAATTATAAATCATGGATTCACGCAAAGTGAGAAAATTGTGAAAGTTATTTTTTGCTTACAGTCAGTAGAGTAGAAAGATTTGTTTCGGTAAGCTTTCACTTGCCATGCTGCAAGCTTCTTCATACCAATGTGATAGCTGGTGCTGTCGCTGAGGTAGTACGACGTTATGGTCAAATGGGATCGTACGTTGGAGAAAGAGTTAATTGGCCCAAATCTCTTTTCATGAATTTTGTCACATTGTACTGCCTCAGCAACAGTGCTAGCTACCAAACAGATCTTGAGAAGCCTGCAGCACCTAAATCAAAATCTTACCAGAACAGTAGTTTTTCTACTGATTGTGACTAGAACTATTTTTTAAGTTACATCACCAATCAAGAGAACCTCTTCAGTTATGTGAGACAATCTGTCTGAGAGTCTAACTGAATACATGTAGTGTAAGAAGAAGAATCCACATATTTAGTTGCCAGGTTAAGTGTTAAAGATAAAGACCAGTTATGGTCATGCGATTGTATTGTGAAAGAAAGGTTGTGAAATCGATCAGAAAAGGTTGATCACCTAGCAAAGATGTACTGCAAGGTTCTGGAATCATCAAAATGATAACAAAATTGGCCCAGTCTTCATAAAGTTATAAGCACTGTACACAAAAAGATGTATATGGGACTACGCACATGTGCGCGACACATGCATTTTTATCTCTCACACACCAATAGATAAACTAATTTACCAAATATATCAATTAGTAGGCGGTTTCCTGGCAAAATTGTTATCATTTATTATTCAAAACATATTCTTTCACCGTGATTGGTAATAAGAGCTTCCATTTCTTTTTTGGAAATTGGGGCATTTCCGTTACTGGTCTTTACCTTTGAGACCTGTTGTATGATGCATGCTCTGGGGACACTAGCTCTGCAGGCTTTTATCTACATTTTGAAAAGTTCCAAACTTCATCCATGGATTGAACACAATTAGTTGACCTAACTAAATCTTGTCTTAAACCCTAATTGCAACCCCTAACTCTTTAACCCTTCATGTTTGAATAATTGAAGCTCAGAGTAAATGGTGCTGGAGCAAAATGTTGGGTCACTCTATAGACATGTAAAATTATAATACTGAAAATGAATACAGACAAACATTATGGACCTGTACATACAGCTCTTACTATGATCTTGAATTATATATGGGCTTTGTAACAAAAGGAGCAATTGGAAGTATGCAATATTCTGCATTTGTGTAACTTCAATTTTAGTACTTTTGAACACTTTGAAAAGTCAATCATTAATTTTTTTAATGACTTATTTTACCAAGTTTATTTTATTAGTAAAATGTCAATAATTTTGAGCACTTGAAAAGTCATACATGATTTTTTTAAAAGAGAAGAGACATTATTACCAACTGGATTTATGAGTAAAATTTATTCTTCTATCATTGGTAGTTTGGAAGTCTACACCAGGCTAAACAATCTAACTGCGATCTTATTTGATTTTTTTCTTCTTCAATAGACTTGGTATGAACATTGAACCATATGAAATCTTGAGGTTCTTAATAGTTGAATCAATTTCAAATTGTTTATCGAAAATTCCCTGTTATGTATTTGATTTGGTAGGTCAAGTCAATGGTTGAAGCCAACACAAGGATGCCCAAGGCGGCTCTCCAAGCTGCGGAGAATGTCGCCCTCGCGAGACAGAAAGCAAAGGTCAAACTAGCGAGCATCAACGGGGACCACGGAGATAAACCATTATCCAATGGCTTCGACGCAGCGACTTCCAACCTTCTGGACTTATAAAAGGGGATTGAATGAAATTCAGAAGAAAATGCTTCTCCATGTAGTCATGGCAACATCGTATCAACCAAAATCACACTCTGAGATCAAGATTGCATATCCTCTCTGAGTGTGGCCAATTTGTGTCTTCATGATTACAACATATCTATGCTATGCCATACAATCAGTCATGCATATAGTAAGGATAGCTGTGTACCAACAAACAAATCACTGAGACCATATGTCCATCAAGGCATAAAGATTTCCAGCTGCTTTTGGTAAATTTACAGTTTACCGGTATATTTCAGATACCGTGTTCCTAAAATTTTGACATAAACGGACTTTGTGATACAGGTATTGTAACAGGGAGAATACGTACCATTTTAAGAAGCTTGATTGTGGTAGGGCTCTAGTGTAACTGTTGAACGAAGCAATGATTAAACCTTTTCTGAAATTATTAAAGAATGCTGCCTTTTTTCAAATTGGATGGAATTAATATATCGTTTATAGCCTGTTCTCTTATTAGATAATTTTTGGCCTTTCATGTCTCTTCTGTCTTCATACAGTTGATAGCTTTAATGATGAGCAAAGGAGAGTGGTACTAATTACAGGGATAATAGACTAATATAAATATCACTGTTTTTTACAGGTCTATTTTCTATAGAGTCTACAGGCATCTTTGAGGCATTTTTGACTTGTTTTATACTACCATGTACAAAGTAGTCACTTTTTTTATGTGGAGGGACTCAAAGGTCTCATGTAGACATACCTCTATTCTCTATAGTGTACTACACAATTATTTGATATGTATGTACAAGCTAAATCATGTTTTAATTCATGCCATTTACATAATTACTGTCATTCTATGTGCATGCATGTGTGATCATAAAAGGAGGATAAAAAGAAGCTCTAAAGTTCACCTCATTTACAGTACTAAAATACTTGTATGTACATAAGATCTTATAGGGTCAAAATAAGTTTGAAGAATACAAAATTGCTGCCTGATAATTTATGTAGGGGGCTTTATGACGTTTTGGAAACAGGCTAATTGTGCCAAGTAATCTTTCAACGTATTGGAAAAGTATGCACCATGTTAATTTTGAAAGACTTTCAAAAGAATTTTTCTTTCTCTTTTAACAATAAGGTTGTAATGATTTGTTTCTTTTCTAATTTACATGTTAATTAAAAGAGTTGTGTTGCTTGAAGAAGACACTCTTTAGGGAATCTTTGGTATTCTTATTGCGTAAGCAAATGGTACATTTTTTTGTTTTTTGCAGGGGCGTAATTTTTCATGGGCTAATTTATGCCTAACATCCCTGTTTAAGTCCATGTATCACTAAAGATTCTCTTTTCTTTATTTTTCAAATAAGCACAGAGATCATCTCTCTCTCTCTCTCTCTCTCTCCTCCCTTCTCTTTTTTACTTTGTCATTTGAAATGACTTTTAAGTGCTCAGATTAACTGTAGAACATAAAAATTGACATGGAGCCATTCAACCACCTTTTCATTCTACAAAGTTTATTTTAGCGCATGAAATAACTGAGAAAACACAAAATTCATATCATAACATGATTTATGTAAAAAGCCAGAACTTAGATCAAGTGAATTATGGGTATTTGAATTTATAGTATAGATGAATCTCGTTGAACTTTGTATCAAAAATATTTTGCTGCTGGAAGGTGTACTATTATATAGGAATAAATGATATGAAAATTGTTAATCAACATATCATTGGAGAGGGAACTAAAGATATTTCAAGATCATACGATAGGCAATATTTTTTTGCATGACACATGTACATGTAGTATCCTTTCTTGATTTAAATGCATATGAATAAGGATTTTTTTTCTTCTACGGGTCGGTGTAAGGAAATACATATTGTAAATTTTGATAGTATATGCAACTGAAAATTGGGTGACATTGAAGATAAAAGTACATGGAGTCATATGTATTACCAAAGAAATATTGTGTGTATATATATATATATATATATATATATATATATATATATATATATATAAAATTCAAAGTATTAAGAACCTGGTATTTACTATTTGCAATTATGACCAGCATCAATGATTCCCAATTATTATTTTGATTTGGACACAGGAGATTCAGTATGCATGATTAAAATATTGATATTCGTATTAAAATTTAGTCACTTTAGCTGAGAATATTTAGGAAGATTTGCTTTTGATAGTGAAAGCTGTGGCGGATTAACTTATTTTATTGTTTTGATATGTTTAATTGTAAAACATTAATATATTTAAAGTACATGTAGATGTAGATGATGAGCTGAAAGCCATTTTCTTCCATAAGTGGAAAGAAATCTTTAACACCCCATTGCACTTTATTAATGTCATTAAATGTGCAGAGCTTCGAACTGTATCTTATTGATTCTTATAATAATATGGATATATACCACCCAATGGGCTAGTAAACTTATTTCAGTTGAAGGTACTTGCAGGGTATCTTGCTGCGAAAGTAATTGCTTTTGTTGAAATGACCATATTTTACACCATAAAAAACAGATAGGAAACCTGAAAGTGAAAAAAGTTGTTAAATATTAACAATGAATCCCATTTAGGGGCAAACTGATATGATATATCGCTACCTTCCGTATCATTTCATTTTAAACTAAAAAAGAATAGCCTCAATTCTGTCATCTGTTTTCTTAGACTTGGTAATGATCTATTTCATAAACTGAAATCACAAATGGAGACACAATTTTAACCAGCATTTTTCATTAAAATAAAAATGTTCTTAAAAAAGAAAGTATGTACTGACAATGATGATCACGATTCACAACACTTAAATGCCATGATTTAATCAAGTAGATATAAGTGTGCATGCTCCTCAACAGAATATTTGATATTTAAGCATGATTGTAAGGCATATCATGTTCTAGATTGTAGGCTATGACATGTGAAGTGTGTGCCTTTACAAAGTCTCATGAATGTAAAATTAAGTTTTATAGGATTTTTGAGCCATCCACCACTCTGCTGTATTCCACATGTTTGTGCTCTTTTCAACAATCTGAGTGCTTTCAAATATTACCAATCATCTCACATTTCCATCTTGTTTTTGTCCAAGAAATTGTTTGTGTCATTCTTTTTGCAATCATTATCCAACCATTAAGTGCTTGTACTATGTGATTTTATCTCTATATTTAGGTGTTATCATTTTCATGTTCTTAATTGTTTAATGTGTTTGATGTTTAAGGTTTTTATGTGCTGTGATTTCTCTTTTAAGATTTGATTTTGTTGCCAAAAAATGTTCTTGTCATCAATTGATTTTAATAACCAATTGTAAATTATCAGAATGTTGCCTTCAGACCAGAGTTTGTGTTTTTCATGTACATACTGCAGCAGCTTATTACAATCCTCGTAATTATTCCAAATACATGTTTACCGCCTTAAATATTTTCCTATTAAAACTAGATGAGACAGATTAAACGCTTATTCACATGATTTACAATACAGTAAATCTTAGAGTTTCCTGCGTCTGTGTCTTGCCGTATTATGTCTGAAAGAGCCTTACAGGGGCAAGACTCTGATCTATATTATGATACATGCATCATCATCATCTGTCTTGCATTATTCAATGAATATCCTGAGTATCAGGCTATATTACTTGATGGATTGTCTTGCTTTGAAAATATTTGATTTTTCATATACTCCAATTTTATCAGTATTAAGTTTTAAACCATTATTGTCTTTTATGTAGGAAGCCCCACATACTAATTATTTTGTTTCACATGTATAGTATTACTGTACTGTTCATTACTTGATTGTATTTATACTTCTCCAACATTAGGTTATATACGATTTCATGTAAATTATCTTGTCAAGTAAATATTTCGTGAAATTCCTTAGATTCTTTTTTCTTTTACTTTTAGCCTCACTTCAATTAAGCAATTTAAATATGCATGAAAAGAATTTAAAATCAGCATTCACAAAATTATTTGATGTACCGTGCTAATGGGTGACCAAAATTTAGTTCAAGATATGAAAATCAGATTAATAGAAGGAAACCAAAAATGTTTACATCGTTTTTTGCAAGCCTTTCTTACCATTATACATGTATACTTATTTAAAGTCTTCTTTACTGTTCCTACCAGTCCTGTTTAGAATTAATATCAGTTAAAAGATGTTTGGAAACCTGGTATCAATATGTTTGCCACTGTAATTGCTCTTAGTTTAGAATACCATTACTTAATCTTTTCAAATGTTAAAAAGGACAGATTTTGTTTTAGGTAAATTTTTGGTTTCATTTGAAATCTGCAATATCCTTGTTAATAACTTTCTTCTATTGCTGAATGGTAATAAATTTCTGCCTTAATTACTTTTATGAAAAATGGAAAGATAATTAATTTTCCTTGTGCTCTCTCTCTCTTTCTCTTTTTTCATCATTTGATTGTGCATAAACATGCTGTTGATTTTTGAGTCAGTGTGGGTAAAGCAATTATTTATATGGAAACCTTGAAATATTCTATAACGTATAAAGTCATACAAATAATTTCATCAACTTAAAAAGCAACGTGTTTTACTTTGATTTGGTTCAGTTCATAAGATTGGCAATTGGTGTTGAAAAAATGATTATAGCATCAAATGTATGACATGTTAAAGATAAATACCAGTTTGGTCATGCGATTGCATTGTGAAAGAAATGTTGTGGAATCGATCAGAAAAGGTTGATCATCTAGCATATAAGTAATGGTGTGTAACTGCAAGGTTCTGGAATCATCAAAATGATAAGAAATTTGGCCCGGTCTTCGTAAAGTTACAAGCACTGTACACAGAAAGATGTATATGGGACAACGCACACGTGCGCGACACGTGCGTTTATCTCTCACAGTTCAATAGATAAACTAATTTACCAAATATATCAATTAGTAGGCAGTTTCCCAGCAAAAATGTTATCATCATGTATTAGTCAAATCATATTCTTTCACATGATTGGTACTAAAGAGCTTCCATTTCATTTTTTGAAATTGGGGCGTTTCCAATACTGGTCTTTACCTTTAAGTTTTTTAAAGTCATCACTGAGAGATTTCGTTTGATTATGCGTTACTCTGTATTTATGTATAAATATCAGTTGATTTTGTGAGCAGAAAATGGTAACAAAATGGAGATTATTGTTACAAATTGATTGATTAATCAATTTTTATGAACTTTAATAACTGCTTCATAATGTGTGCAATCAGTGCCCTCCCCCTCTCTCTCTCCCTCTCTCTCTCCTTCCCCCTATGTCTCCCCTCTCTCTCTCTCTCTCTCTTCCGCTCTCTCTCCCTCTCTCCCTCCCCTCTCTCTTCCACCTCTCTCTCTCTACATGATGTACATAATATATAATCAATAGTCGCAAATTTCATGCATTCATAAATTTAGCACTGAATGTTGGCTATGATTTGATTTGTCAATATTTTCTGGATTCATATCAACATTTTTGGAATTAAGGAAGAACTAAAATTGCTTGTTATTGTTGAATTACTCAGCTCATTGTCAATTTGGACCCCCTGTTTTTTTGACAATGCAGGGCCCCAATGTTCCCTAATTTTTTATGAAATTAAAAAAAAGTTATTTGATCATGGTCAATCATTGAAATCTGATAATTACACAGTTATTAAAATAAACCTACCAAACTACATAATACAATGAAATACTTGACCTAAAGTAGGGGAGTTTGATGTGGTGCACAATTGCACCCCTCGGTAAATAATCGAATAGTCCATGGCGATCATGGATATTCATGTTTTTGCACAAATTGCATATCAATAACGCTCAGCAAAATTACTCAAAATCTAACAATGATATCAACAATATCCTTTTATCATCTAATTATATTTCATGATTTGAGAGAGTGAAAGAAGATAAACATACTGTTCTTGCTTTTCCCGAATTCATCATGTAAATGAGAGAGAGAGAGAGAGAGAGGTCTGTATCTTTACCTTCATCTATACTCGTCAAACAGATTTTTATACAAGAAAATACATACAGGCTACTTACTATGATACACTCACACACACAAAAAAAACAGAACACGAATGTTATAATTTGATAAATCTGATATGTTATATCACTGAGTCTGACACATTGGATTCAATTATCTATAAACCACTTCGTAATTGGCTTATTTGGCTTTTTAGTGTGGTACGGTATGTCACTGAAACAGCTCCCGTAGGAATTTTGTGCCAAAATTGATTTTTTTTTTTTTTTTTCTTTCTTTTTTTCATTTTTGGATTCATTGGGGTCCAAGCTATCAGAAGTTGATGGGGTTCAAATTTTCCCGAAGACACCAAATTTCCCTATTGCGCTTTATATAAGCCATTTTGGCGCCCAATATGGACCCCCATGGAAGTGAAGGAGGGGTCTGAAAAAATTTGAACCCCATCATTTTGGGCCAATTGGGACCCTTTTGAAGCCAAAACAGCAACAAAAAAAAAAAACTTTGGCAAAAAAATCCTACGGGATTACACACCATACCGCACTAATTGGTGACCCCACAATTTCCAGAGCTTGTCAATGTAGATGATCTGTGCATAATTTCAACCACCGAAGTGATGTTCTATGATAGTTTTCGTCATTTAAAAAGAGTACTATCATCTATAAGCATCATAATAATTGCAACGCTGGTGCATAGATTAATATTGATTGCCTAATTATCACGAGCATTCATCTTGTAATATTCTGAGTCGCTTAATTGTTGCGCGATGCTTTTCCAATTGCCTTTGCTCATGATTATCATGCGCGCGCTGATTGCAACTTAAAAACGAACTGGCCCTGTTTCATAAAACTTTGATATCAATAACAAGTTACAAGCTTCTGTTATAAGCTACTGAAATCATGGCATCTGATTGGCTGAGAGCAAATTTGTCATAGACATTTAGCAGTTGTAATAGATAACAAGTTTTATGAAACGGGCCCTGGCTCATTTATTCGAGACGTCACGCTTCAAACTCTCTCCAAGAACTGTTCTTCCTCTTGAACGATGTACAGAAGCGTTATCACCAGTGCTGTTAACATTGCCGAACCAGTCAAGAGAACAGCTATCATACGGATCACCTTCAAGGCTACCGTTTGCCATTGAGCAACGATCGCATCCTTTATTTCCAGGTGGCGATCGTTCTTACGTATGTTCTCATTCGCCGATGGCTTCCGCCAGTCGGGGCCGACCGCACATTCGCCAAGTGTATCCTGCCAATGGGGTAGTAGACCGCTTTAGAAACGGTGCAGATTAGACTGGAGAGACGCCACTTCTTCACCCAGTTTGGACTAGATTGGACCGGTTGTGACTGCTGAGAACCAGTCTTCAACGTGGTGAGTTTTCGCAGACAATTGGGAACTGGTTGTTTGTCTTTGTTATAGGTACATAATGAAAATGGATGCGAAGATGGAAAATGTGCTGATGACCAGGTGATGACGATCGACGCGCCGAAAAAGCTTCCTAGCAAAGATAGGACCAAAAAAATAGGACGGGAATAACCCCCCCCCCTCCCCCCCCCCCCCCACTCAGTGTTATTTAGGGTACGCATATGCGTTTTCCAAGCGACTCAGCAAAAGTCCGGTGTGTAAAGTGAATACGGGTCGACCTTTTTCATTTGTTATACGAACCTTTTTCAGCACCCCCCCCCCCCCTTTTTCAGCAATTACGAGCCGGAGAGTTTTGGAACACGCATGGTATCCCTCCGTTCACGGAGGGGGGGGGGGGGGGGGGGGGGGGGTAAAAGCTTTAGTTGTAGGCCTCTTCCAAATAAGTTGAGTGTTCTCGTGGAATGTATCGTTCAATTTTGAGTTAGCATCTTCAAAGTCTAGTGTGTAGATGAGGTATGGATGCGTGTGCGTGTATGTGCGTGTGTGTGTGTGTGTGTGTGTGTGAGTAAGAGAGAAAGAGAGAGAGAGAGAGAGAGAGGGGTGCGGGAGCTTGCATGAGTATTAAAATAAAGGCATTCAAATTGATTTATATCTCGGGCCTCGGAGACCCGAATTGAAGCAGAGTGTTCCTAAAATACCCTGCATGGAGCCAGTCCTCAAGAAAATGTAGACCCGAAGTAAAAGTATTCCCACTTGCGTTGCTTTTATTTTGGTTTCGTTTATCCTAGTGCTCCGGGATGTAATATGCCCTACCCATAGGTAGCTAGTGACCTATGGCTTCCCTGAAACGTATGTATGTGACACCTGTTCTACACATTTTTACACAATAGCAGTGAAGGGATGTTCCTTTGTCTACCACAGTAATTGTTGAGGGTAGAATGAGGAAATGTATATTTTGTCCGCTTTCTTTGTCCGTCATATTCATAGTGAAATGAACCTCCGGAAAAGGGTGGGTGCAGCATGGCCATTTCTGCAGCTGATGCTCTACTTCGCTACTGGGACGAAAAGAAAATCCACGTCATTGTGCTCGGCTGGATCCCACTTCAAATATTCGTCTCACCAAGTCTGTAAAGGCAGCAAATTTGAGAATTTCTGCATCAAATGATATGGTAGTACGACTTAGTTTGATCCTACTAAAGGCCTGGTCACAACGAACCCACGACGCATTTGTGCCACGACCGTGACGACAGAAAATGTGGGCAAATCGTGGGTCGTCAGGGGTCGTCGTAAGACAGTCGTATGGAAAGTTTACCATCATGACATCGAATGCCGTCGTGAGGCAAAATTGGCCATGTATCTTTTTTGTTCGACTTTTTAAAAATATTTTTTGTTGGTGGTATCTATGTCTTGTGGCTGTCGTGAGTCTGTCCTACGTGATGCAGACGAGATACGGACGCGGGCGTCCCACGAGTGGCCACGACTGTTGTGCGACAGTCGATTACGCATACCAGGAGTGAATCACGACCTCACGTGAAAAACAGCACCCGATAATATCCGGCAACTCGCATGGTCCCACGACTGACTTGCGCCGCTTTCCCACGACATAACCATGACACGTCTTTTTTTTGTACGCATCCCCATCGCCAATCAACATTAATGTGTCGTAGCCCTTGCGACCACCCGAAATAGATCTGGCCACGACAAATATTTTATGGGTGTACCAAGACAAAAATTTCGTACTATCCGTTGTGAACGAGGCTTAACGCCCGTTGCAAATAACGACACGGCACTAATGTCTTTTGGCAAGGAATTAATCTTCATTTGCCACACTCGACCCAGGTGAGGTAAATGGGTACCTCGTACCTGGCAGGAATTAATTCCTTGAATTGCTGTAGCGCTGTAATTTAGTTAGGCTAAAGCCGGGGTAATTAGTGCGCCTCGGAATAGAATTTCTTGATAGACGGCGCGATAGAAATTCCTATTATTATTATTATTTATAGAGAATGGCTGTCAGTTTTAATATATCTCAATATCATATAATGATTATCAAAAATAACTTTGAAACAAATATCATTTGCCATGCTCGCTCGCATCTACATCGATATATGAATTTACCGAGTCTTTCAAATCGAAATGATCTGATTGATTACATCAAATTTGAGAAATTTCCCCTAAGATTCTTTCAATAACTTAATACAGGAAACTGTGGCATACAATTTTTGACGGATGAAACGTGTTGTTTCTAGTGTGTGCGTGAGACGATAATTAACCACCCCTTTACGTCCCCTAAAGTTAACTACTTTGATTGGCAAGAATATATTGAGCGTGTGACACGTTCCTATTGCTGATGCATTATCTCCTTGGCTTGATTAAAATATAAGCCGAACCAAACCTCGCATCTACCGAATCATGTCAACTCTTTACTTTGCATTTACCCGACACGACTGCGATTTAATTTCCGATATAATTTGACAACAATCTGTCAAAGTCAGGCTCATAAAAAATTCGGATCGTAGATATTTGAACTTATCATACTACTTTTCACATATAAATGATATTTAAACAAATGAGATTCATAGTCAGATTAATGTTTGTTTTCAATATTGTAAACATTCGATAGTTTTCGTGCACGAACGCAAAATAAATCACTATTGGAGAGATCGAAATATCACAAATTGTCCGAGTATGCAATTTTTTATATCAAATGATAAAGAATTATTTTCAAATTCTGTTTTTAGGCTAGTATTGTTCATTGTTATAACACAATCGCTAAGACATTTGAAAATGATCCTATGGCAATTCAATCGCCTTGTTCACCTTAATTTGCAAACATTACAATGAGGCAAATGCTCAGCCTAAATTCTACGTGGTGAAAATGCACTTCAATGTATAAAACTCCCCTACAAAAATGCATTATCCTCATGTATTTCACTAATTGAATCAATTTGTTATTTATACTCAAAGTAGCCACAATTGTACTGGAGTCACCAAACTTTGTTTTTCTCTGAAATTCAGTCCGTATGGAATGTTATGGCCTGTTGAATTAAATGATTCTCGGGAAATCGTCATAAATCCTCAAAACTATACTGTGATGTAGCTGAAAGTCTGCAGATTCTTATCATTTGTTCGGTTTTTCTGATTGTGAAACATAATGAGGAAATAGGTGTAACGGTGATCCAAGTAATTTCCATCGCCATATTTTGTTGGCATTGCAAAAGTATTTGGAATTTAATGTTAATATTTGGTGTAAATATGATCTATAAATATATGATTTTAAAAAATGCCAAGAAAATGAACAGTTTGACTTTCCTATATATATAATTACCTAATTTGCATATTTGATGAATATTCCTTTTTTTTTTCTTCAAATTTTGTTTTTTTTCCATACCTGTCTGATATACATAGGTTTCATTGATGTATCATGTTCGGTTTTGATTTGATTACATATTCTTATATTAATTAGACGGACTTAGTTATTTTCACAACTTTTTCATATCTGCAGATTCGCAAAAATGGCAAAAATGACTTATTTTGTTTGCCTCTGTTTTCAAAACGGTAATAGATATATGAATTTTCTTTTTTTGTATTTTTTACCACAAAGATGATATTTTAGTGTCTGATAATTTAATTTATTATTTGTGTCCAAGAAAGTGATGAATTAAGTTGTCAACTTTGTCGAATTTGACATTTTTCTGGCAGGTTTTTCGGTAATTTTGCGATATAAAAAAAAAATGGTATAAAATCACAACGCATTGACCGACTTCAATTCTGTTTTTTGTTTTTTGAAGCTTTCATCAAGCTTGATCATTTGCAATCATCAAATAACTTGTGTTTGTTGTACTTATTTTTGGTGTGCTATACCTAATATAAGCAACGAGGGGACGGACGGCTTTTTAAAAGTGATCTCCGAGGCAAGTTTCGCACCCGGGAATTCTCGATTACGTGAGCGCTGCTAGTATACCACAGAGCCATCGCCCCCCCCCCCCCAACAAAAAAGAGTGGGACAGAGATAGAGAGAGTTAGAGGATGCAGTCGTGTGATGTAAAATGCGGCGGGAGAACATTTCAATGAAATCTGATTAAAGAGGAAATTAAGTGAAGGGATGGGAAAGGCTCCTGTTTTAATAGAATTCGCTCATTAAAAACGGTACTTGCACATTAAATAGATTTTTCAAAATTTTGTATAAAGAATCTGTATTGTTAAACTATATATTTCTTCAAAAGTGTCTCCAGGATTTTAGATGGGTGCGAATTCATTTTGTTAATGCTTTTCCTCATTGCCCATTGGAAGGAAATCCAGGAATAAATGAAACGAAGAAATATAAACATACTGTAGAAAAGGATAGAAATGATAGATATATATATATATATCTATATATATATAGATATATATATATAGATGCAGAGATAGCGAGAGACAGAGAGAGAGGGGTGAGATAAACATATACATTAGCGCTCTTAAACCGCTTATATTTGACACAGGAAGATTTGTTTTGGTATTCATACGATTGCTTGTTGATTGATACTTTCCACACCCCCACACCCACACTCTATCCACCCCCACTCAATACACGCACACATACGGACGCACACGCTCTTGCTCTCCCTCGCCCGCCCACACCCATAATTCGCATCACTTTTGTATTGCTTATTAAAAACGATCGATGGATGGATGAAGTAATCATCTACATGCACGCTTCTATTTAACACCACACACCACTTTCGTCCGAAGATGGACAGTATGTGTATGTCAGATTAGTGATTGCCATAGTGATATAAAATCACATCACGTTAAACCTTGTGTAGAAGAGTATAGAACACCGCTCATTGGCACTGCTGTTTGGAAAACCATTTACTTTCTTTTCGTCATGGCGCCACAACTTATCACATGTATGCTTGCTTTGCTAATGGTTGTTGGTCACGTAAACTTTGTAAAAAGTGGTACGTAGTCTATGTTTATATCAGTATCTTTTTTCGCAATTTATCTTCTTTTAAATTTACCTTTAAAAAAAAAAAAAAATCCGTAAGAGATAAGAGTGTATTGTCACAAAATAATACCGGATATCAAAGGTTTCTATTTTTTGAAGAATGATATGAAGAGTATACTATTGTGGTAACTCCATAGCTCCAGAAATCTATGTAGAGATGTATTTTGATATTCCTAATGAAACTACCCCTTCGACTTGAATATTTGATCTGCATACTCTTCCTTTTTTTCTTCCGAAAGATGGTTTGAACTTATGACAATCTGACAGCTAGTTGACAAATGATCAACTCCTAGTACCATTTAATGCGGGTGTAACCGGGTAAGGTGATGTTTAGTGATCATTATACTTTTTCATATTTTTTTGTATCGCTATCATCAACATCCTTATCACTACCGCCATCCTCTCCCCCGTCCTTCTCCTCCTCATCATCATCACCAACACCCTCATTACTCACAATCTCTTGTCATTACCGTCCCCACCTTCACCACCACCACGACCATCAACATCATTGACATCACTATCACCACCACCACCACCAGCACCATCAGAACACCATGAGCACAACTTCCAACTGAAGTCTCCTCAGAAGAATCTTCTGAAAGGCCTCCTTGACAGATATGGTGAACCATCCATCCGCCCGATCATCAACCAATCCAACCCCGTGGTCATTGAGTTGAGAATTGAGTTTAAACGCATGGTGTCCTTTGTAAGTTAACATTTTGTGATTTACATTATTTTGATCGCAAATTCCCGTATTCTACTAAAATTTAAACTCGACGCTGGGTTTAAGTTTTTCTTCGAATTCGGGTTTAACAAATTAAGTTAGTCTGATGGCTAAGTTTTGCTTTTGTTAAATGGAGGCTCCGTGTAGAGAAGATTCACCACCTTTGCACGTTAAGAACCCATTGCACAATTCTCTTACAAGAGAAGGGAAAACACCGGTGTAGTCGTCCCCCGTACAACCCCATTCAGTCAACTTCAAATTTGCTCTAAATCCCCATCTCTTTCTAAACAGTGCTATTTAATCATGTCAATGTAGCGTAATAATTTGTGTTGTTTTGGTTTACTTTATTTTGAGTTAAGAAAGTATTATGTTTGTAGCCTGGCGGATACCGGCGCTATATAAATATCCATATTATTATTATTATAAGGAGAGTCCCAAGGATTACAGTAATTAAGTTTACCTCCCATGCACAGTTGACGCCAAACACGATGATGATGATGATGATGATAATAATTATAATGATAATACTAACTATGATGAGGTGGCTCTGATGGTGCATGATTCCATTGAAGAAAAAAAAACGGGAAACTATCTTCTTTGAGTAATCCACAATCATTATGGATAATTGTTTACATTATGACAACGCAGTTCAAAGAAGGAAATACAAAGTGAATTGACATAAATGATATTGTATACTTGTACTTCTCATAGCCATACTTCTCATGTGATAGTTAAACTATGATTTACCTCAACACGAGGATAATCGGAACTATAGTCCAAGGGGGTGTTTCACAAAGACTAAGATCGACTATGGCAGGCCATTCATGCCACTTGTTGCTCTCATCATTGGTCTTTTAAGAGACGTCACAAATCTACAGAATTCACATTTTCAATAGTTTATTATTGAAGAAAAAAACATCTAAAGATCATAATTTCTAAGTTTTTTTCCCTCTAACTTTCATCTGGTTCAAGACTTTTTAAGGGCATACATCGCCTGCTATAGTTCAAGTCCAACTTAAGTCGATCTTAGTCTTTCTGAAACACCCCCTGAACTCCCGTTATAGAGGGCTGGGTACCATAATTTAGTGGATATCGATTATAAAACGGGGATTTTTTAAACAAATCAACAATGCAATATTACATTTTCTCTTAACTGGATTACACCCTTTATATTTGATCGAATAAATGGGACATAAGGATCCAAATATTCATAGATTTGGCCACGATAATGCTACGGTCACAAAGGTTCGTACGAACGATAATTTCGTACGAATCTCCCTGTTTTTCCATTGTTTGACCGAGGCTTAAGCCTCGGTCACAAATGCCATTACGAACTGCTACGAACGCCGTACGAATGATTTTCAGACAATGGAAATTTTGGAAGACAATGGAAAAACATGGAGCTTCTTACGAATTTATCGTTCGTACGAACATTTGTGACCGTAGCATAAAGCTACACTCCTGATACTTTTTTAAAAATAACTTTGAAATAATTACGTGATGAAATTTGTTCATTAAAAAAGTAAAAATGTGCAGAATTTTTCTTACTCAAATTTTGATCAGTTATTTATGAGCCATCGATGACGCTTCTATAGTGAAATCATTATTTTTTTAAAATCTAAGTCGGTAAATTCAGTATTAAAAGAACTTCGTACTGCGTCTCATAATGCTTTGCGTTGTTGACATGTGTGTACTCTTTTGCAATTTTCTCTTATAAAGGCACATATTCAAATCCATAAAACTACATTTGGAAATCGTCACTTTTAATGACAATTTCTTGAATTTGAATGAAAAGTTATTCACCACTTAGTTTGAAAAGTTAAGAATCGAAAAGGGGTAATATGTATGCACTTGAAAATATACCTTCATTGCTATATGAAACTAAACATTTTGAAAATCTCAATAAGAACTAAACATTAATTATTAAGACATAATCAATTATCTAAAAAAGAATTTTGCCCGATTCGCCTTTTAAGTGAGCAAGTTTCTCACATATTTTACGAGTTATTTAGAAACGGGTCAAGTGGAACTTACTTTTTGATTGATATTCTATTTGTACATTGATAAGCAATGAATCTTATGAAGTGCTGAAACACTTTATCAAATGATGTATATAGTCTAGTCAACCTTTTATTAAATAAGAATGTAAAGAGACTAATGGCCCATGATGATGATACAATTCGCTTGAAATAGCTCGAACATTATTTTGACATTTCTCTGTTGTTCGACGAACCCTCACATTCGATCTTTGTCGCAATAAAGCACAGAGTAATTGCCGCCGGATCAAAATTGATGTTGGATCGCCATTTTTTGTGTAGGGTGGCAGTTTTGTTAATTCTCCATTCAAACCATCTCCTGTGATTTCATGTTTTCAGGAACAGAGCGAACAGCAACTAAAGGTTATTGTCAATATTGAGATGGTAAGTGCAAACACATTAACTGCGCCTGATCGATTATTCCGATCGTGATTTAAATGTTTCCCCGATCATTATCTTGACAAACCCTTTCAGATGATGTCATGTTAAATTATCTTTGGAAATTAGACCGGAACCCGTCAGGTAATTACAAAAGGGGTCTTGAAAGGACGTTTCAAGAATATCAGGTTTGGTGTGGTTTGAAGACATACATGGGAGTCTAATCTGGGGCAGTTCGAGGGAGGGTATAGATTGGGTCCGATAGAGCGGTGGTGTAGCGTGGATCCAGTAATTGAAGGGCACTAGTGTATCGGGGGTGGGGGGGGGGGGATTGGACTTAGGAGTCCGAAACGCGAGAGGAGAAGATTTAGAATGCGTGGAGAGCGTGGGGGGGGGGTGAAAACTGAAAAGGGTCGCATCATCTTCTTGTCATGCTACTTCTCCCTCTCCCTTCCTCCCTCACAATTTCCTTTTTTCCTTCTCTCCATACGGTTAAGGGAGGGTACGTGCCCCCTCGATCGGTAGCTATGCCTCATGGAGTATGTAGTGTGCACACACTATCGCCAACTATCAATATTCAGTCAATGAAAATATTACATTCTCTGCCTCGTATTCTTCTGCACCTATTATTACTCTTATTTACATTAAACACGTTGGCCCGAATTCACAAAGGAGGTTTGTCGACAAACCGAGGTTTATGTACGTCATATGACGCGTTTTGACGCGTTTTTTTACAAACCTGGTTTTGTAAAAAACAAAAGGAGGTTTGTCGACAAACCTCCTTTGTAAATTCGGGCCATTAAGGTACCGTCGTTTGGTTCGGGACAGATGTTTATGTAAATATATAATGAGGTTAATCCTAATGAGCTTGTCGAAATCATGAGTAACCTCACTTTAGTGTTTACGCCCACGAAATGCACTTACACGGATGCCATTTGGTGGAAAAGTCGGAAATATCCTTCAAATTCAATATGCACTTAATGACAAAATGAAGAACAAAATGTGTATATATCTATTATATATAGCCTAGGTCACCTCTAACCTGTATAATGACGCAGACTTGATTGATTCGATATGAAACTGTAATGGACCTCGTAATTAAACTGACTGTAATGTCTGAAATGAGAAAGGCAGGTCACCTTGATATGGTTGCTCGGAAACGAGAGAGGCCGGAATCAGGCAAATCATGACCTATAACTTCTTAAAAGTATGTACTGGATTAAACACTTGCAGCATGGGTGTATTTTGTGTCCGACTAGCTTTGAACATTTTTATGTACCCAACTTAAATATATCGTTCAATTAGGGTAAAAATAGATACGGATTACTTTAAAATGGGCAACATATTGCCGAAATTAATGCCCTATATGCTGGTTGGACAGATCTTTCAACAATAATATTCTACTGGATCTTAGAAGAAGAAAAAAAAACCCAACTAGCACTCAATCAGTCAGAAGATGATAGAAGTGTCTACCAATCTGTGATTACGTTTAAGGTTAATCAGCGATTAATGCATGTCGAGCTGACATTAACGTCTCCTAATGTAGATTAAAAACTGCATTTTTTTCCTCGCCCGGTTTCTATGTTCCTTTGCATGATAGCGCTCATCTACTGATATGTTACTATGCACCCCGCCCTATCTACACAATTACCCCCAAAGACAATTTTTCGGCCCGCCGTTGAAGTCTTTTTCCACTTTAAGAAACTTAGTAGGACACTTAATGCCAATAACGAGATAGAAATAATGAAATGTCATCCTCATCAATTATGACTACATTTACTAACAAGCATTTTTTAATTCATAAATTTTGGACATCTAAATCCGATAATCTGTATTTTCAGGTTTTTTTTATCAAGCTTAAACTCGATAAAAATAATAATAAATATCTTTTATCATACATGTACCACGTTATAATTCAGAAATAATTAATTCGTAAACACACGTGCAAATATAATCTTCTGAGTTGAAATAGTGAAGCCTTTATTATATTTAAGCAGAAGAAAGAACCAAGAAATTATCCCCCTGCAAACCTCAGAATTAACAAACTGATTTGTCCACATCATTGTCATGGTAAGTTAAATAGCACCGGATATTGAATCCGATGGTAATAATCCTTAATTTGACTCGCTCAAAAAAATATAAAAAAAATTGCAAGTTTATTGCAAAATGTGTCACGAGAACGATAATGAGGGTCTGATATTATTTCACCTTGATCTTTCATTATGACCATCAATTCACATTAAGTCCATTAATAGTAATTAACCTTCGGAAGATTGCTTGTACCTGTCAAAATATCTGAATCGACTCTAGCTCAAAAGACAAGTACATTATAGTACTATAGTAGTTGATAGTTGATAGTGGAGGTTATTTTACCTGACAGCTAAGAAAGCAATAAATGCTTGTTAGTAAGCAACCAGAAGACCGACGGCTAAAGGATACAGCAAATGTTTGCACAGAGGCGTAGCAACAAGGAATGTCAAGTGGACTCTTTCCCCTCCCGCCCAATGGCGAAAAGAGGGAGAGAGAGAGAGAGAGAGAGATGGGGGAGGGGGAGAACGTGATATGGCCCCATCTCACTTCCTCCATTCATTCTATGGCCTTGTTCCCTCGCATTTCAATTTATATACTTAATATTTCGGCTACCCCAACCCCATAGACCAATACTACGCTACCCCTTCGGGTTTCCATCATCCATAGAGATGGATTTTGATAATAATAATAATGGGAGGGGAGTGATTTGTTCGTGGGGCGTTTTTTTTAATAAAAGGAACCCGCTCTTTTTCAAATGGTCTTTACAACCTTTTAACAAAATGTAGACAGTGGTGTTGCGTCAGGGTAGGGCAAGGAGCACTTAGAGTTATCGTTATTATTATCGGTCAATTTGGACGGGCAATTGGAAAAGATTATCCCACTTTTTGGAGATTGGGGAAAATTAGATAGATACACACACGTCTATAATCACCCAATTACATACACATTCTTTTCACTCTTTCAGGTTTGGCGAGATGAATATTTGACGTGGGATCCAGCCCAGCACAGCGGCGTCGATATTCTCTTCGTGCCAGCGGAAAAGATTTGGAAATATGACCTTACGCTTTACTCGGCGTATGTTCGATTTTCGTCGATTTTAGTTGCATGAACTGCCTTTAAAAAAAATTGAAATTAGTTAATTGACTTAATTACAAATTGGGCCTAGAGTATTAAACACATGAAAACATATATAACTTTATAGCTGCGATTTCAAATGATAAATGATATATTAGTTTTTGATTGGTATGCAGTTTAGTTCAATAATTCCATGTTGTAAGCACTTACCCCGCCCTGAAAAAAAGAGAAAATTAGAAGAAAGAAAAAAACAACAGAAGAAGTAGTAGAAAGGAGAGAAAAAAAATCTTTGTTTTGCCAGCCTCCACTATGGGAAGGAAATAAAGTACCATAATGATGTATTTCATTTATCATTGATGCTTTTCGAACCGTAGACGTATACACGCATACAATCACGATTACATTCAATTTGTCCTTTAGCATTGTATACTCTGCTTTTAAATGTTCCAATATACGTTCTAATAATATTGGAATAAACGAACTGGAATATTTATCAAAGAAAAACAAAATTCTCGATGAAGCCTGTCGTTGGTATAATCATTAATGAAATTATGATGGTAACATTATATATTATATATATTATATTATTATAGGGGTAAACCGCGGCGTTTGGGTTTTGTGTTATTTTTGTTATTATCTTATCGTAAGGTGTAATATTTTACATTTTTGTATCTCATAACTTATCTGAAACTTTAATAAACGTGGGGCCTTTGTTATGCGCAGTTGCCTTTCATGTTCGTGAAAGAAGAACACAAATAAAACGCGGGTTACCTCTTCATATCTGAACGAGCCTTTAACATTTATAGTTCGTATACCTCCCCCTATCCCCCTTTCTCTATCTCTCTATCTCACACACACACACACACACACACGCACACGCGCGCGCACACACGCACACACACATTTATCACTTCTTAACTTGCTCTCTTCTTGCATTTGACACCCTTATGTAGCGTCGGTAAACAGCTGGTTGAGATGGATCATGATGTCGTCATCGTACGACCAGACGGTATGGTCACGTGGTTCAGCTCTGCCATGTTATATTCCTCCTGTTTGGTGCGTGTGCGATACTTTCCATTCGATAGACAATACTGTAGACTGATCTTGGCCTCCTGGACTCACGACAATACCTCGGTAAGTAGAGCCGGCTGCCCACGACTCGTAATTTAACGGGAGCCACTCGTTTTTCGAAGGTTCACAATTGCGAAACACCAATTTTCTTTATCAGGGAGTTTTTAATCTCGAAAGTGAAATTGGGTTCACTAGCTATTCCAAGGTTCGTAATTCCTTTTATGAATAGTGTTCATAATTCCGAAGGTTTGTTATTTCGAAAAACGATACAGGGCTCTCTACTATTTTTGTAATTGTGAATCTTCGGGATGATGCACCCTATTTCATTTTCGGAATTACGAACCAATTAACTATAAACCTTCGGGAAAACGTTTTGTTACCTTTTTCACTACTGCCAATTATGGCAATTGGTTGTCAATTCAACAGATAGTGAGGTCTGCGCCCTATTTGTCCCACAAATCTTCTTTACGCACTCATTCTGTTCACTTAATTGCGCCGTTCCATCGAAAGTTGATTTTTGGATAATTCAGGAAAGTACGCAGGATTTTTTTTCGAAGGTGGGGGGGGGGGGGGGGGGTTAAAATTTGATAATCGCGCCGAAGATTTCGCAACGACTCAAGCCAGCCGGGGGGGGGGGGGTAAGAGCACTTTTTGCGTACGCGCCTGCTTGCGGCGGCCGCAGAAAAGCTGCGGTGGCCTCAGGGTCACCCTAGGACATATCCCTATGTTTGCAGGCCGTACGGGTAGCCGTGTGATCATAACGCGGAGTTATAACTGCTTTCAATTCTAGGTCCGCCGTAGCGATTAGACACGCCGTAGCCATGCCATAGAGCGGTTTGACGGCGAGCCTTGCGTTTTATATACTCCAGGGGTGAAGCGGTAGCATCAGTCTGGCGGTACAGTTGTCGTATGATCCCCCTTCGGTCGCCTTGCGGCTATATACCTTGCGTCTGCCTTAGTATTTGTCAAAAAGCTACGGCCGCCGCAGAAACGCCCTAAGGCGACCGTGTGTCATCACCTCAAAGGCCGTACGGCATTCACAGATTTTCTTTATCCACAAATTCAAAATACGCCGTGACCGTGGAAATGCTGCGGCGGTCCTATAATTGCTATTGGCCGTAGATATTCTAGATCGCACGGCCCCCGCGCCACGGCCACTGCGTCAATGAGTGGTGCGGTCTTTAATCCGCCATGACTGTGAGGGAGACATCGTACTCTAACTTTTCGAAAGTAACAGTGCAATCCTTGCACTGAATCATTAAGTGTGGGATAATTACCTTTACGAGATCGATTATGTGGGAGGTACGTACTTTCGCAACTGAAAATGCCTTTGCGATTTCTTTCGGGTACATTTCCGACGATATCAAGCGCAAATGCACCCGAAAGAAGTTGGAATTTGTAAGTTTGCGATTGATTGGAGGACTTGTGATCAGTTCAGATCAATCACAGAGAACTAGAAATCGCAAAGGCACATCGCCCTACAATAATTTCAGGACATTCACCACCAACAACAAAAATCGCGGCGTCTGGGTACTACCACCTTAAAAGAACAATTCGACAATAATAATTATGCCTTTTAATTCCGTTTTTGTGACTAGGTCACTCTCAAACAAACAAATGAAACGGTCAGGAAGGAGTACTTCATCAACAACGGTGTGTGGGACCTGACTAATATCGGGAAGGAGTACCAGGTACTAAAGTGGGAATGCTGCCCAAACCCCTGGATTGAGGCACACTATCTGCTTCTTTTCCAAGTGAGTCTTCCATTCTGTTATTTTGAGAGATTGTGGTGCAATGGAGATGGGCATGAAGAGGTTGTGAAGAAGTCATTATTAGCAAGGATGTACATAGAACAGCGTTTTCCAACCGGGTTGCATTGCCATGGGTACTGCGAGATAAATCACTTTTATACTAAGGCGCCATATGGGATAACACCCAGGTGTTATCGGGCTAAAAGGAAGGGCGAAATTGACTGTCGACACTATTAAAAACTACAACATCTAAAAGATCGAGACTATTTGAACTCACCTGACAAGTTTTATGCCAACTCTTTTTCTAAATGTCTTGATTTCAGCGCCAGTCTAGATATTACGTCATCACCGTCATCGTACCGAGCACCACACTTTCTTTGGTGTCTCTTCTCGTCTTCTTCATGCCGCCTGACAAGTTTTATGCCAACTCTTTTTCTAAATGTCTTGATTTCAGCGCCAGTCTAGATATTACGTCATCACCGTCATCGTACCGAGCACCACACTTTCTTTGGTGTCTCTTCTCGTCTTCTTCATGCCGCCTGACTCGGAAGAGAAGGTAACCCTAGCCTCTAGCAACCTTCTGGCCATGCTGCTGTTCCAAGAGCTTGTGTCCACCTCCATGCCTCCGATTGGGAATCAATTTCCCCTCATAGGTATTAAAAGCGCCTTTTCCCTTCTTCACAGAATATGATCCTTCTAAATCTTATGCCCACAAAACTAGTCAATATCAAAATTATTGCATATCGCAAATAATGTCTTCGGCACATTGTTCATAAATCTCTTTACACACACATCTACATCCATTTATCATTATTATAATTACGATAATGGTTATTATTATTATTTATATTATTATTAGTAGTAGTAGTATAAGTATATGTAGTAGTAGTAGTAGTAGTAGTAGGAGTAGTATTAGTAGTAGCATTTCTTTATCTGATGCAAACTGTAAACTCAAACGCTTGATGCAAAGGGAAAAATAGATATGATTTTTCAAATACAAAATATAAGTAAAAATCGGTAATGAAGCTGGATTTTTTACCGGAACAATGTTGTTCAGAATTCGTCAAACAGTTATTGCAGCCTTTAATAAAGATTTTCCCGTACATATACATTGTAATCAATAGGAAGCTTTTTCGTCGCGTCCATCGTCATCAACACCTTTTCCATCTTCACATCAATTTTGATCATGTACCTGCATAACAAAGACAACCGACCAGTTCCCACGTGGCTGAAGAAACTTGCCGTATTGAAGACTGGTTCTCAGCAGTCACAACCGGTCCAATCTAGTCCAACCTGGGTAAAACGGCGCCTGTCCGGTTTCATCTGCGCCAGCACCGTTTCTAAAGCTGTCCAAGTGCGCCACGCACAAGACAGCGGGCAGAACGCAATCGACACCAATCAGATTAGCTCGAAGTATCTGACACTATCTACGGTACCAGAAACCAAGATAAAGAAGCAAGAAGATAAGGCCAGTGGTAATCCTAATGCTGATGGAGCAAATCCCTCCCTGGAAACAAGGGAGGAGATCATTGCTCAGTGGCAGGAATTATCCATGAAAGTGAACCGCATCATGGCGTTTCTCTTGACTAGTTCGGTCATGTTGACAGCTTTGGTGATCTTGTTCTTGTACATCGCCCAAGAAGAGGGAGACTTCCCGGCAAGAACCTAATGGCCGCTAGGGAAAATTCGAAATGTTAACATGATTACGAATGAGAAATTGCAATCGGATGAAATGTAGAAAAATGTTAAAATGTGAACTATTTCAAACCGATGTCCTAAACCAGGGCCATGTCAATCCGGACTGCCGAGGAGGCTCTGTGTTTTTGTTAGCCCTAAAAGGGCCTGGGGCAGAACCACCCCGCCCCCCATCTTTTTGTATCAAATTTATATATAATTTCGACCAAAGGGTACCATGGGTAGTACTGCGTATATAGTGTCAAAAATTGCCGTTATGTATATTGCTATATTTTAGTAATAATAATTCGAATTTACGGTTATGTCTGTTTACTTTGACGATGTAATGAAACCTTCTTGTATATATTTGATATGCTCTAATACTCGGGACAGTAGTTAGGTGCCGTTTGTAGTAAATGTATAGAAGCTTCTATATCTTATATGGGTTAAATAATTGACCAGCGAAATACAAAACATAAACATTTAATAGGTCAATGGTATAATGCAGTCAGGCCTACATCAATTTATATATTAGGATGTAGTAATTCAATTTTCACCTTGTACTATTGTGTGCTATTTATTCTTTGTTTACCTACATTCCTATCTTTTCATAGAAATTCTATTTCTAAAAATGAGTGTCGTAAATTCATTTGAAACAATATACGATATTGATTCCATAATTTTCCTGCCCGTTATTTATAATGTTTTTTTTTTATAAATGTAAAAATTTGCGAGCATGAGAAACAAATAATAAATATAAAAAATATCTTTGATAAACGAGAATAATTAACACCGAGTAATCTTTATCCTTCATATTTGATTTTGATTTGATTTGATTTGATATTCTTCTGCATACATGTAAGCCTACATTTTTTCGATAACAATAATAATATAAAGGACAATAGTATTTTTCTGACAATGAATCATAAATAAGCAAATACATATCTATATAAATTGTTATTTTCAAAAACGAAATGGTAAAAACTGTCATAAATACTAAATTTGCTTAAACATTATAAAACATTATTTGCGGAAGAAGGACTGTCATTGTAAGCAGATTTCAAATCTGATTGCCTCGGTTTTCATGATTTCAAATCAGTTATACACATATTTAATGTAACATTTGAACACATTGTAGTAAAGCAATATGAGGATTACGATGTATATTATGTTGCTTTTATTTTTTGCTTTTTTAAAACATTAATTAGGGAACATTTTTTGGATACATTAAAATAAATCAATTAAACAGAACTGCAATATGCTTCGTTTCATGCGTTCTTGAAAGCCGGTGAGTTTCCGTGGGTGTCAGTTTGGATGTTTGGGTGCCTTGACTAAATAACGTGCGTGTGTAACATGCTCTCTGCATTTACAAACCGCTTGAAATGATATTGGAACTTCCATAATTAATGTACCCTGATTATGATGTAAGTAATATCTCAATTTCCTTTCAATTCTTTGCCTCTCGGCGCTTTTTTCCTTCTCTTTCTCTCCCTTTCTCACTCCCTTCTAAGTCCAATTTTAACTGTGTTTACATCGTGTGGCTCGCCCATCTCATCATAATATCCGAACTGCGTGGCATCGGACAGATAGTTTGTCTCTTAATTAATTTGGGCAGGACAACTACCTGCAGAACAAACGGGATCAATGCCTCTGTTTCATTTCCCTCAGCATTTTTTTTTACATAGGCCGAACCGGGCTTGGATTTTTTTTTTGTTAGGGGGGGGGGGGGGACACGGAGAGGAAAGGGTAACTTAATTTTGAAACAAAAAGTGCAAAATTGTGTACTTATAGAATTCGCGTATTGCGCTGGGAAAAGGGTGCCTTTAAATACGCCCTTGGCTATTACCCTTTTTGTAATATGTGATGGCAATTTTGGTTTTGTGATCAGAACCAACATTGACCATGTGATACCATGTACTTTTAAGACACAAGAGGACATGGAAGAGAGTGAGAAAGAGAGAAAGGGGCAGAGTGAGAGAGAGAGAGAGAGAGAGAGGCGGGGGGGGGGGGGAGGAGACATAGACAACAGAATACAGTTAAACCTGTCTAAGCGGCCACCTCTATATAATGGCTACCTTTATAGTCGTCACTTGTATTGCCTCCCCTAGAAGGAAACATTTGTTGAAGAACCTGTCTCCAAGGGCCAGCTGTATATACAGCGGCTACATTTTGTGTTTTCCATGGGTAGCCTTAATGGACAGGCTTTTATTTAATTCTAAAACAGAGAGATAGAGGAAGAGAGAGAAAGAATGAAAGGAAGGGGGGAGAAGAAATGATAATGAGAGAAAAATGTAATGTTATTTAGATTGATTGGACACAACCATCAAGAAATCAGGACCGAATTTATAAATTACCTTCAGATGGCGCTGCATCATTCGATGTCATCGTGTACATCAACCGAACCAGTGTTAGCAGTGAAGCGTAAGCCATTCCCACTTTTAAATGTCTTTTAATCATAGGATGGCGTCATTATCTTCTAGTCAATATCACCCTAGTTTTTACTACAGGAGTTATGTATGATTGTAATGAATTCTTCTGAATAAACTTATTTAACAAAAACAAATTTCAATGTGTGAGATGCTACCTCTGGTATTGAGGTTCAAAAATGCTCGAGCTTATCTTTTCTATAATTTCGTATCATTTTACCGATTATCTCCAACATTTTAGCCATCTTTTGCTTTGTGTGCTTTATCAAATTCACCTTGATATTAGGGGGTCCATGTATTTATCTTTAGAAGCCAGTCAGCTCATTAGTGATAATGATGTATGGGACCAACAGCGTGTCGAAATTTTTTATTTCTGAAAGATTGTGAGTGAGAGTACTATCCGAATTGTGATGACGAGGCCAACTCGCCATTTTTGTTGGTCCTTTTTTCTGAATAGTAAATCATTTTAAAAAACGAGGCGGGCAAGGACAAGAAACTCGTTATTTTTGTTACTTGGCCTAAGGAAATTCTTACAATATTAAGTTTGACATTGCACTGTCTACGGTGCCTGGACATTATGATAATAATAATAATTAAAAAAAAACTCTTGCAGAGCACGGCCTGCGAAGCATTATCACCGTCTCTCACTCGTTCTAAAGGCCAACTCCCGCTTGTCCAATGTTGACAGTGATAACTATAGGTCCAACGCTATGGTCGAAGACTTAAACTACCTCAAAAACATTTGGCAAAATCCGGTGGAATATCCCAACTTCTAACAGCGCATTTTTTTTTAATCGTCCCACTTCATGTGTCTCTTTGTCTTCTCACTCTATTTCCTTAGGCACCCGGTGAAAAATAGTTTTCAAATCTCCCATTAATGTTATTTTTGAAGAGCGATATTCCCTCGAATATTTGATAGATATATTGTCATAGCAGAATTTTCTATAATCTTAAGTGGAATCTATAATACAAAGTGTAATATCTGTATTACCTAAGTAGGACAAGCAGTGGTGTAGACAGGTTCGTACACCTGGGGGGATGACTCAGGGGCGGATCTAGCTTTTTGCTAAGGGGGGGTTGACCAATAATGACGATGCAGAGCATCGTCCACGAGCCGCGAAGCGGCGAGCCGATTTTTTTGGGGGTGTTTATTTGAACCCCGTAAGTGATGTTTTCCTGGCATCTATTAACACAATGGAGACCATAAAAAGCAGTGCATGATAACGTCTTTTTAAATCAAGTAACAGTTAAATACACAGTTATATCCAGAGTTATCATGTGTTTGGTTAAGTTACCAGATGAGTTGAATATCTTCTCACAATATTTGCACTTGAAAGGGTTTCTCTCCAGCGTGCGTTCTTTTTTCTTTCTTTTTTTCTTTTTTTTTTTTTTTTTTCCCCTTTTTTCTTTTTGTTTGTTTTTTGGGCCGCCCAAGGGGGGGGGGGGGGGTTTAAACCCCCTAATCCCCCCCCCCCGTAGATCCGTGCCTGTTTAATCTTGTGGTTATCTTGTGGTTTCCAAACCACAAGATAACCACAAAATACTTGTAAGATTTTCTTTTTTTTACCGTCTGAATTGGCTTTCACCGTGTGAATGCGGCTAATAACAATAAACACAATTACAATAATGATGAGGATTATTATTATCATCATCATAATTATTATTATTATTAATATTATAATTGTTATCATTATTATTATTACTATTATTATCATCATTATGACTTATTAAGTAAGCAAATATCATTCCCCAAAACCTGGGGGGGGGGGATGATTGTACATGCCATCCCCCCATTAGATATTATAAAAATAATACCCATCAGTGAGGGCATTAGTCAGAATTACCCACACAAGGAATCTTTGGAACAGTCTACCACGGTCGAGGCGATAGCCGAGGATGTTTGGTCTGTTTCGAAGGTACCGAGTGTGGGTAATTTTAAAAATGCCCGAAGAAATTGATGTGTATTATTTGTTTTATAAGATGATGTTTTATTTGTTTTATAAAATAATGTTTTATAACTTGATTTTACTAATGACCGGTCATGAGTATTTACTAATGACCGGCCATTAGTAAAATTACGTGTTAGGCAAAATAAATGCCTTGTCACGTGTTCGCTCTCAACCAATCATATGATTAGGATCCGCTTCAACATCTTATAAATAATTATATCCACTGGTCGTGCAATTTCATTGCAAAAAAACTACCTGGAACCACGTGGGAAATGTTGATCGTGTAGAAAACTTCATGTATACTTTGAGATTTAATTGGCATCATCAAAAGGAAAAGAAATTGACTCAGTCTTGCTGTAAAGCACTTGCATTGCAAACAGAAATTGATACACGAAACTACGGACATAATATAATATGTGCCATGATATTAAGGTCTAAATCAATATTTCTCATCTGATACTTCGAATATGAGGTCATTCTGATGAGCTATCCATTTTTGTAGGTGACATTTCTTCCACGATATTCTTCCACGATATTCTTCCAAACTCCACATACAGAAATGAAAAGGCTCGAAAAGTATTTTCCATCTTTATCAGAACTCAACTTTCTTTTTAAATTCGGCAGTTTATAAGACAATGCGTGGCATAAGGACGTGGGTGTAGAGACCCGAATGTATATGAAATTCACCGACAGCATGCTGCTTAATTCCAATATAAATATAACAGTTAATGCAAGGTAAGCTTGTTTTCATCCCTTTTCACCTCGAGGGAAGCTTTTTAACGTTCTTTATTTCTTGTCTTTTTAAATTTTAATGCATAACTTGATATTTAATTTCCGGAAAGAGGATTCACTTCACATACAGCCTCAGACATATCGGAAACACAAACACTGTTATCCTCCTTAAATTTTCATGCATATTTAGAAAAAAGGTTTTACATTTTTAACAGTGCTATAGACTATCAGAGGAAAACTCCCATGGAGATATTGGATCTGGTAACTGATTCAGATTTTCTTTTTTGATCTTACTGTATTTTTTTAAATAAAAAACAAACAAACATGGTAATCAACATGTTTTGTGATGTCGCGCGTAAAATGTATTTGAAGTTATAGCATGTAGCCCAGTGTTTTCTGAATTCATTATTGAGATCATTGGCAAAAGTGTTCATTCATTCTTTTTACTTGCGTTTTGCGTCATGATAGAAATGTTGATTAGTTTCTGAATTACAGGTGTTTCGTTTGACGCTCTATCGTTTTCACTCTTCATTTAAACAACAGTTATCCATAGTAAATCTGCAATATCACATATCTTTAAAGAGGTAATGCCCAATCAGTTTCTGAACCAACCAGGTTGCAAAATCGTTAAAAAAAATTGGCACAACAAATAACTGGCGCGTATTCACTGAAGTTACAGAAATGTGAAGTGTATAATACTTCACGTCATCATAAAAAATAAACAATGAAAAATAAAACTGCCGCGGTTTTGCCACCTCATATTTGAACGA